TGATTTTTTGTTTTTTCTAGCTGCACAAGTTGGACACTACCCAGCCAAAACTAAAATCCAAGAAATCAGGAACAGAAAGTTTGGACTATCATTGGAATAATCATGACAAATTACTGGAAGATATCCAACAACTTTAGTCGAAAATCCTGCTATCAGGTAAAAAAAAAAGAGCAGGAGATATTGCCTGAGGTTATTAAAATGATGATCAAACGCATCATCTTCCATGGAAGCACATATATAAACCGTAAGAGAGACAATCACACCAAATATCCAGATGCTGTCACTTTGAAAAGAACAAAGAAGAAGATCTGAGTAGATACGAGCAAGGAAAAAAAAAGCTGAGAAGCATCGCAATCAAGACCAAAGGGCTAGTGAGAAGCATCCTCGCTCACTATGATACTATGCTCACCTTGTGAAGGAAAGAAGGTGAAAGCTCGTACACTTGGGATGTAAAACCGGTGCCCGCATCCATAATCAAGGCCCACAGGTTTGTGCAGGAAGCAACGCCACTGATAAATAAGCAATCCTCATTTCCTTTATCGATATGCTGCGCAAGCCTTGTATCTGCTACATTGTAATGATACCTGCAAAATATATGCTATTAATATTCATTTTTCGCATGGGTTTCAAATTCAAGGATACATACCTCTGCTTCATGGGCCGGCGAGCATTATACACACTTATCCACTGGGTTGCAGGCGTTCCCATTCTGATCTTTTTCTTTGGCTGCTCTTCGTCCTCCTCTTCCATTAGTAGCCGACCTCTCTTCTGACCAACCTGATATATGAGCTTTACAAAGTCGAAAAGAACATTAGATACTTGCTCTTAAGTTGGCGACTCAAAAGCCAAAAGAAGAACAGGGTGATACCTTCTGAGCACCATCCGTGTTAATTGGTCTAATATCTGGGTTTGGACCAACTATACCATCAAAAAGCGAGATACACTTTGCATAATTAGGCTCCTCATCGAACTTAAGATTAACCACATATTCAACAAATTGTCTAAAGGGCTGGGGGCAAAAGCAGCATAGACTCTCTGGAGAAGTAGCCATCTTCTTTTTGCAAACAAGGAAACCTTTGTTTTCTCCCTGATAACAAGATGTTTACGTTAAAATACAAAGATGAAATGCAATAACAACCTGCTGAAACAAAACTACAAAATAAGAAGGAAGACCTTTGTACCTGATATCCTTGCCATGGAAGGCGACCACGAAGGAGGAAAATTAGTGTGTATGCAAGAGACTCCAAGTCATCTCTCCTGCTTCCTGTTCTTCCCAGATGGGCATGCACACTAGCATATCGTACTGTTCCCCTGCAGTGAATGATTTGACAGTATCCATTTACTCAAGATGAATTAGATTTCCAGGAAAAGATGTCAGAATCTGCAAAATAATGGCAGTGCACAAATCAATGGCAAGACTTGTCCATGCCTGAAGACATCTGGTCGCTGGTCATACTCAACATGCTGTCCAGTGGAGTTATCTTTCCACCTAGTGGCTGAAAATCAATTTTTAGCAAATGAAAATGAAAATGAGCCCAAACATACTAATGGCAATACATCCCAACAGATAAATTATTTCACAAGGGGGAAAAAGAAAGAATAATCTACCAAGTCCAAGATCAACTAGGAACAGATTCTTCTCTTCGGGAGTTCCTGGTGGCCCAAGTAGGAAATTCTCGGGTTTTACGTCACCGTGCACATACCTAACATCAGCCATTGGTATATACAGATCAAAACGCATCAAATCAATGCACAAGAGAATGAGAAATCGTCACAAACTTGGACAGATAAATAGTGCACTGGTTAAAATACCAGCACAGATAAGAGTATTTACCCTTTAGAGTGCACCTTCTCTAATATCGAGATTGCCTCAATTGCTATGCAGGCAACCATCTCAATGGACATTCTGTCAGAAAAAAAGGGGAACAGAAGAAAAGTTAGAAAAAAAAGTGTCCGAAAAAAAAGGATTGGGACACTGGCTAAAAACTCACGTGTGAGAATTGTTGTTCCAAACATCCCATAAACTTGGTCCCAACATATCCATGACCTGAAAAGTAAGAAATAAACTATAACATATGAACTAAAGAATCATGTTAGCCTTTATATTAATAAAGGCTGAAAACTCGAATAAAAATTGTGATCAGTTACCATAATATAATAGTCCCCTTGGCGGCCTTTGAAATGTACTCGAGGCACCCCATGAATTCCACCGAGAGTACTGTGTACACAACAAGGTCAAAAATCCTTCCCTCAGTCATCATCAACTGAAAACCATAAATTCTAAAATAGTATGATGATACCCACTTGTAAACCTGCCACTCATATGGGGGCCCATAATTGCATCCTTTACTGCTTTTATGCTCAAATTTTAAGGCCACCTACAATTCTTAGATGAAGGATCATTATATTGAGAAAAACAACACGTGGCTAGACTGAGAAAAGATACTTGAGATAAAGCATTGCTACACCTCCACAGGTCCTTGGACACCAATCCTATCAGTTCCATTAGCCCCAGAAATGCGGCGACCTACATAAACCTGCCCAAACCCTCCTTTTCCTAGCTTCCTCTCAATTTTAAAAATTGGCGAATTGCCAACCTGGACCTGTAGATATTGACTTGAAAATGAGCTCAATGAAGAGTATCACTTCGCATTAATCATGAACATTATGCATCTAGTCTTTTGGCTGCATAAATGTAGCATCGGAGTACAAGCGAACATAAACACCTAATAAGCATTCCCGTGTATTTAATGAAATGGAAAAAAAATCAAGTTATATATCGTGGTCAAGTGACAGATAAGAGAAATTCCAGATACGACATATAAGATGAAAATGAAAATGGCACAGTGGAGTATAAACATCTGAGCATGTGATAATGATAGGACGTTGACATTTTTGCAGTGACGAGGATTGGATCTATAATTGGTAAACGCTTCGGAAATCTGACACGGATCCCCACATATTAAGTTTTCCCCACACTGCACATTCACATTTTACAGTTGTTTATGAGCAAGGAACAGAAAAAATTGATAGACATGCAAAAGCACCCACGTATAGCCTGTTTCCAGCTTCCTCTGAGTGACTGAGCCTGGAAGACATTGCTGGAGTGGAGAGTGATTCAAGATCAGACAGAACGAGCCTACCTCAGCACAGACCTCTGCAGACCATCAGTAAGGGAAAAAACCTACCAGGCAAGTCACACTGAGTTTCCAGTTGACATTGAAGCAACCCAAGAATCAAGTTAGAATCCTCCCAATTAGAAGCAAGCAGAAAAGCCATTGAGTTAAAGATCATATTTCCCTCCATCGGTCGTCCTCATAACTGCTTCCCATGTTATGGCCATCTATGCATGTTGAAACTAGGACCTGGCCTCTCAAAGTAACTTAGTAGAGCTATCCTCCTTATAAGAGGCAAGTGGTTGCAACACTAATGTTGTATTTTTTATGTGCTAGGCATGACATCTCAAAGATACTAGCAAAGGTGCAAACCTGGAATGGTACCCTACTGGCAACAAGCCATAATTTCATGTATAGAATTTGGTCTGAAACTACATGATCTACGCTGGTAAATGAATGCAACTAGGGCCATCCTCCAGAGACCAAGATTATGAGTCAAATAAATACAAAAAATATATATAAACCAACAGCAAGACAACCAACATCAGTTGTTTCCAACTTCAAAATTATTTACTCCGCTGATAAACTGTATTTTGATGTTGATTAAACAAATCGTTCTACAGAATGCTGCAAAACAAACTCAATACATGATCAAGGCGTGCAAAATGAAAAGAGAAAGGAACGTATGATCATGACATTTATACGAGGACGTAGACGTCAGGAGTTGACTAGAAACCTCGTGCTGAGCGTAATTCATGCTCCAAAAGAATATATATATGTACAAAAACAGAAGAAATCGTGTTGGAACGAAAGCACTCGGATACATGACAGAACAAGTTCAGTTAAATCGTGTTGAAATGTCAGGAATTTTGACACTGATCTAGCGTCAACAACATGCTGCGGCTAGAAAAGAGTCTCAATACACCTGACCAACGGGTCAGAAAAGGATATCTACTGACATGTTTCTCGCGTTTCAGAATCTCCAGCTGTTCGCTTTTCAAATCAAAGCAGTTGACGTATCATAAGAAGAAATTTTCAACGGCAAAAAACGAACCTTGTCAGGAAGTGGTGCCGTGCTCCCCTCCTCCTCCGCCGCCGGTGGTTTTTCTGCGCTTCTGGCCCCACTGTCACAGTCCTCCATCCTCCTCTCTCCTCCCCCTTCCTCCTCTCCCTTCCTCTCTCCACCAAATAAGTCACCGCGCTCCTCAAGAAACTTGATCTCCTCAACCTCGCCCGACCTCCCCACTTTATTCTCGTTGGCAGCTCTCCTACTCCTCGCAACTCTCCCTCTCCTGGAGGTTCCAGCAGCGGAAGGCCCCTCCGCCTGGACTACAGGATTCGACGGCGTTCCCCGGCCCCTGCGTGCTCCACTACGAAGCTCCGGCATCCTTCATCCATGAAACCGCATGCCCCCAACCCTACCTCCCCTCCGATCCCCCTGAGGCTTCTGCCGAGCACCCACCAATCGACCGACTCGGCCGGCGGTACGCCGGACGGCGAACTAGTTCAGCGCCAGGGATGGAAAACGTAGCTCCCAGAGAGGACAGATCGGGAATTAGGGCCGCAGCAATGAGAATTCAAGAGGAAAAATAATAACCCTGGAACATTCGAGATTTCAAGAACACAGCAAGAGAGAGAGAGAGAGAAAGAGAGAGACTTAACCGTTACTGGGACGATCGTGAGGAACATGTAGGCCCATATTAGAATCATACTATTGGGCCAGGCCTGTTAGCAGCATATCTACGTGAGGAATTTGGAGATATTTCTCATCCGCCACAGCGTAAACGGGCCCAAACCGTCCCTATCCCGGGCCCTGGGTCACACCTGACGAGGCCCAACCCGGACAATAATGGGCCTCGTAGCGGGGAAAGATACTTTGGGTCAAAATGAACCCTGTGAATGGCCCATAATGAAATCAGATAATCGTTGCCTAATATTTAATAATATATGAGATTGATCACAATGATTAGACTGGCACGTGCTAAAGACAGCACATAGACAGAGAAAGGGAGGTTAGTGGTTGGTCTACTTTTGATCGATACGTGCCATGGAATAACTGAAAAATAATTGGACACGGCCACCCTAATAGCGCCTTCGCTGTCTGCTATTTCTCCTTTATTATAACCCCTCCCACCCTCCCTCTTCCCCCGTCTAATTCTCTGTATCTCTCTCTCTCTGTAGCCAATCTCTCTGTCTCTAGGTGATCTGTGCTCTCTCGCTCAATTGGTGGTGAGGTTATGGCGGAGGATCGGCTAGAATGAAAGTCTGAATTTTTGAATCTCTCTCTCCAAATAATCGTAAATAGCATTATAGCCTCCAGTCATCTTCCTCTCCTTCAGGCTCTTGCTTGGCTCAGCTGGTATTTGGGTTCTGATTATATGAACCTATATGCATAAATTTACTATATTTTTATATTGGCATTTTTTTCCAGTGTTTATGTTGTACCTTTTTTTTTTTCTTCTTTATTAAATTCTGTCTATTGTCCTCCATCTAAAAATCGGTTGTGTAAACGAATTTACTCTTGATTTTGCTAAATTGACTTTGATTTTCCATTTTTGTATTTCTCGCAGTGATATTTGTTTTGGCTCAACAACCAAGCTGTGATAATTTAGGTAAACTATCTTCTTGATTCTTCTTATAGATATGGATTAACATCCGATGAAAGTAATCCATGAATTGTCAATATCTGAGCAAGGACATTCACCTGTTTAAGGTTATGATTTAAGATATCATTAGATTCTTAATTTGAAGTATCATTAGATTGTCGAATACATTTGACTCTTAGATTTTGTTATTTTATTACCATTAGTTAACTATCATTTCCTCTTCATGTCTCTTGCTATTAATCCGAGTTCTGTGTTTTTTTTTTCTTGGGATTCCTTTTGTAGTCTGATTTTGAAGAAAGAAATTCAGCCCGGTGACCATAATTTAATGTAGTAAGTAGATCATGCCAATAAAAATGTTGTGTAGCATTCATTAGTTAAGTATGATTTCCTCTCCATGTTTTATCATGATTTCTTCTATTTTTTCCCTTTCTTTCGGCATTTGCTATGGGGCCCAATGCTGTTATTCTGAGTTCTCTGACTTTTTGTGGGGATCCGTTTTGTGGTCTGATTTTGAAGAAAGAGATTCAGCCTGGTGACCATAATTTAATGTAGTAAGCAAGTCATATCAATAAAAATGTTATCATCTGTGCACTTAGGAAGCTTAATTTATGCAGGACCATCAGTAAAAACCTGTTCCTGTCTTAATCAAATATAAACTTTTGAGGTCTAGGATGTCTTTCTGACTACTGCTCATATCAGGTACATCCAATAAACTAAAAGGACCAGAATCTTGACCCAGTGCGGCCCGTTAATGCACCTTCAGGAGCCCGTTCTTGACGCGTGCAGGAAGCCCAAACTCAATGAGGTTCCGGTCCAGGTCGAAGTGCCGACACAGAACGCGCTGCAACAAGAGGAACAGCCAAAACCTGTCAGTGTTCTGGGTGTCTCCACACATCTGAGCTGGTTGCATCGGGTAGAATCGACACACAATCCTGACGAGACGGACCCTGGTAATGGCTGGAGAGTTCGAGTCGTAAGCAAGCCTCGGAAAGCGGGAAACCTCCGTCGAATGGTCAAATAATACGTACGTTGGGAGCTGCCCCAGCCCACCTTCAGCTCCATGGAAGAAGAAGAAGAAGAATAAGTGAAGGAAAGATCTCCCCAAAAGGGAAGTTCAGTTCCAAGATAATATGATATACCTTCTACAGATATTCCATATTTATCCGCACAATTCGGGAAGTGCCCGAGATCTATGATGCCAAATGAGATGTTCTTGTTCGAGTATCTGCAACCAGCAGGAGAGAAAGTCCAAGTCTCTCATCAGATCGACCTGAGTTTTTCTGGGTCAGGTGTCTGCATCTCTTAGCAGACGGACCATGAAATCTAGAGTGAGAAAGCTCAGGTGGAAGACTCACATGACTGAAAGCTCGGGCAGAAGACGGCTCGTGCGGATGCATATGGACGAAAACTGGTTACGGAATTCCGCCTGCCGAAGAACATGGAACCTAATCATGACGTTCTTTCTGAAGGATTCTATACAAGAACAGCACAAGGGACCCATGAGGGTGAGGAGACAGTGATGTCTCTGGCCCTAGAAGATTGATGGTCTCGTGTTCTAGACGCTAGAGCAATCTGGCTCTCTCATGACAGCTGAGAGGTTGAACTTGCATGGTGGGCCAACACTAGAGGAAACACAGTTGTTAGGTTCCTACTTATTTATATATAGCTCGTGAGCACTGACAGTACCAGGTGCATATGACTCACCAGCCAATATCTTGAGGTGCCTCCTTCAGCCAACAATGTTTCTAGTTGCAGAGGTGTCAATTTACATCAATCACCTAAAAGACAATTGAAAATTTGAGATCCCATGTGATTTACTTTTCTCCTTTCTTGAGGATATAATGAAAGAAATAACAAAAAAGGCTGCTTCATGGAAAATGGAAATTGTTAGAATATAAGATGCTTTATTATGTAGTGTACTTCTTTATACATGAGTTATGTCTTCAGTTATAATGAGATATTGGCTAAAAACTCATGTGTGAGAATTGTTGTTCCAAATATTCCATAAACTTGGTCCCAGCATATGCATGATCTAAAAAGTAAGAAATAAACTATAGCATATGAACTCAAGAATCACGCTAACCATCCCTAAGAGTAATATAAAGGCTGGAAACTTGAATAAAAAGTTTGATCAATTACTATAATATAATAGTCCCTTTGGCGGCCTTTGGAGTGTACTCAAGTCACCCCATGAATTCCACCCAGAGTATTGTGTAGATAACAAGGTCAAAAATCCTTCCCTCAGACATCATCAACTGAAAACCATAAATTCTAAAATAATATGATGATACCCACTTGTAAACCTGCCACTCATATGAGGCCCATAGTTGCATCATTTACTGCTTTTATGCTCAAACTTTAAGGCCACCTACAGTTCACAAATGAAGCATCATTATATTGAGAAAAACAACATGTAGCTAGACTGAGCAAATATACTTAAAATAAAGCATTGCTACACCTCCAAAGGTCCTGCGACGCCAATCCTATCAGTTGCAATAGCCCCAGAAATGCGGCGACCTACATAAACCTACCCAAGCCCTCCTTTTCCTAGCTTCCTCTCAATTTTAAAAATTGACGAATTGCCAAGTTGGACCTATAAATATTGACTTGAAAATGAGCTCAATGAAGAGTATTAGTTTGCATTAATCATGAAAATTATGCTTCTAGTCTTTTGGCTGAATAAAATGTAACATCGGAATACAAGGGAATGGAAACACCTAATAAGCATTCTTGTATATTTAATGAAATGAGGAAAAAAATCAAGTTATATATCGTAGTCAACTGTGATAAGAAAAATTCCAAATATGACATGGAGTATAAACATATGAGCGCGTAATAATGGTAGGACATTGACATTTTTGTAGTGACTAAGATCAGATCTATAATTGGTAAACACTTCGAAAGTCTGACACAAATCCCCACATATTAACTTTTCTCTACACTACACATTCTCATTTTACAGTTGTTTAAGAGTAAAGAACAAAAACAATATTGATAGACACTCATAAGCACCCACGTACAGTGTCGTTTAACGTGGCTTGCCTTCTTTTGAGGTTTTCACATTAAATGCTCACATTTAATGTGGAGAGGAGAAATAGAGTGCGAGAAAGAAACGATCACCTAGAAGATCGATTCTCAAGGACTTCACAACCCATTTATGTGCTGAGCAATCCACGAAGTAGAACGGTGTAGGTAGAAGAAAGGAAAACCGTTTGTCACATTTCTTGATGTTAGTGTTGGCACAGTAATCAAGGTGGTTGTGAGGTGCCTATAAATAGAAGGTCACCTCTCTTCATTCAAGGCAACACAAAGCAACCCTCATCTACTCTTATTTCACCATAAAGAGAGAGTGTATCAGCGGGTCAAGATCAAAGATCTGTTCTTTGGGATCTTGGAAGGGTTAAGATCAGATATTTATTCTCTAAGTTCTTATGGAGTGATTCTCTTGTACTACTTTTTACATCTAGTAGAGTTTTCGTTGTCACTCGTGAACATGGGAGGCCAACCTCAGAACCATGTAAATCTTTATGTCGGTGCTCTTATTGTGAGTTGTTCTTTCTTCTACCTTACTTCACGTCTTGAGCATCGTTTCTACTAAAGTCTATATAAAATGTCTTGTTCTAACAAATAGTCTCTTTTCAACTCCCTCTAAGTGACTGTGTGATGGAGTCCCAATAAATTTTAGGACTCCACTGAAGGTTAATTGGTTTCTTATAGATGAGAGATAGAAAGAGAGACAGATAGACAAACAAACAGAGACAAAGACAAGGATAGAGAGATAGAGAGATAGAGAGGGAGACAAAGACAAAGAATGGGGAGGGGAAGATAGGATCCACAGGATAAGAGTAGTCCAAGCTAGTGACGACGCCACTCTACAATATCATTGAGGAAGGGAAACCTGGATGGAAACAAGAGGAAAGAGAAGGTCAAGAAAAATCCCTTTGAGGAAAGGTGAGACAACTAGAGACACGTACTAATTTCTGCCTCCCGATCAATCCTTTCTTCTGGTATTTATACTAGATTGGGATAAGTCCTTCGTGGGCCTCTCGTTGTTGGGCTGACACCTATACTTATTGGGCCGGTGCCTGATATATCACACCTTTGATATGTCATCAATGCCCCTCCCTTGGATTGTCAGCTTGTCTTCAAGTTGAAACTCGAGGAAATGTTGATTGATAGTTGTTACTGACTCTCACAACACTTCACTTTCTAACAGCCCCTTCCAATGAATGAGAACGAGGGATCTTAAGAGTGACTTCCAGATGCCCAATAGCTTTTCTAGCTCCAATGTAGCTCTCTCTCCTTAGTGAGGTTGGGTGGAAGTGGAATGGCTGAAGCATTCTTCATTGGGGCATGTCTCAGCTGTGAAATATAGAAGACGGGATGAATCAAGGCATGAGTGAGTAGTCTGGCTAGTAAGCCACCTGTCTTACACACTCGGTGATATGATAGGTCCGAAGTACTTTAGGCTCAACTTCTCATTCCACCTTCGAACCAATGTCTTCATCATGTAAAGGCGAAGCTTCAAAAATACCCACTCGTCAACTTTAAATTACATGTCGTGACGATGTTGATCTACTTCCTTTTTCATGGATGCTTGTACCTTGGATAAGTGACTCTTTAGCAGCTCCAAGCTAGCGTCCCGTTCTGCCAACATGTGGTCCATCTCGTCTAAAGGGACGCTGTTGACCCTTAGCGTTGATGGTTGGGGCTCTATCCCATACACAACTTGGAATGGTGATGTCTTGATCATCTAATGGAACGACATGTTATAGCTCAACTCGGCTTAGTGCAGATGTTCGCTCCAACTTGTTGGTTTGTCACATGCAAAACAACGTAGGTAAGCTCTCCATGCTCCAGTTGATGACTACCATTTGGCCATCCATCTTCGGGTGGTATGCAAAACTCATCTTGAGCAAGGTCCCTTGGAGTGCATGTAACTCCTTCCAGAACGCACTAGTAAAGATGCTCCCTCAATTGACGACAATGGATAATGGAAACCCATGCCAGCACACAAATGTCCTTGACGAAGACGGCTGCCACATCTATTAATTGCAAATAGGTGTTTTGAGGGAGAGAAATGGATATACTTACTAAGACAGTCCATTACCACTAGGATCGAGTCAAATCCTTTAGACTTCGGAAGGCCCTCGACGAAGTCCATCGAGATATCCTCTCATATGTGGTTTGAGATGGGTAGCAGTTAAAGAAGGCCTCCTAGAGAGTGACAGTTAGACTTGAAATGGAGGCAAGTGGAGCATTGATTGATATGTGTTTTGATGTCTTTTTTCATGCCCAGCCAATAAGACTGTTGTGAGATGCGACAGTAAGTCTTTAGAAACCCACCGTGCTCCCCCAAGGCTCAATCATAAAATTCTTCGAGTAATTTTGGGACGACCGTGGATGAGCGGGGTAGAACCAATCAATCCTTGAATCTCAACAAGCCATTGGGAAGTCTGTACCTTTGATCATTGAAAACTCCTTTTTGAATCTCCTACATAATCTTAGTCAATTTAGAGTCAGCTTATACCTCTCGATGTGCTATTTTTAAATCCAACCATGAAGAAATAGGTATAGCACACAATACCACCTCCTCCTCAGTGGGTTACTGAGATAATGTATCAACCACTAGATTTTGGCACCTCTCTTTGTACTGGATTGTAAATAAGTCATAAGCTTGGCAATCCATCAATGGTACTGTGCATGTACTTTATTTTGCTCGATCAAATATTTCAAGCTATATTAGTCTGTCCAGAAAATAAATGTCTGAAACATCAAGTAATGTTTCCATTTTTGGACTGCCATAATGATTGCCATCAGTTCTCGCGCATGGGCCGACCAAATGCAGCCCTTAGAAGGAAAAACCTTGTTGTAGAATTCTATAGGGTGCCCTTGTTACATCAAGACTGCACCAATCCCCACACCTGAAGCATCAGTCTCGAGAGTAAATGGTTGGGAGAAATCAGGAAGTACTAGTACCGGGGTCGAGCATAAGGCCTACTTCAACTCTTTGAAGGCTTGTTGAGCTATCTCCGATCATGCGAAGACATCTTTCTTTAGGAGTTGAGTGAGTCGCCATACGATCTTTACATACCCCTCCACGAAGCGCCAGTAATACCCAGCCAACCCCAAGAATCCCCCTAGTTGCCTTAGGTTTATCGGGGAAGGCCACATTTGTACATCTTAGATTTTGTTTTGGTCAATTGTCATACCACTTGATGATATCTAGTGACCCAAATATTCTAGCTGCCCTTGATAGAAATAGTACTTTTTGACGTTGACCATCAGATGATGATCTTAAAGAAGCGCATGTACGATTCACAAGTGAGCCTCGTGATCAGTCACTGATCGATTAAAGACGAAAATATCGTTGAAGAAGACCAGAACTAAGGGCTACAAGTATAGCCGAAAGATGAGATTCATCAATGCCTAAATGTAGAAGGTGCGTTAGTCAATACAAATGGTATTACCATGTACTCATAGTGGCCCTCATGCATCCAGAATGCAATTTTCTAGATGTCCTCCCTATGCATGCAAATCTAGTGATAATCAGACTTGAGGTCTAGCTTGGAAAAGAGGGTGGTCCCGTGGAGTTCCTCTAGTAACTCGTCCACGACAGAGAAGGGAAAACGGTCAAGTATGGTGAGCCTATTCAAGCCCCGGTAGTCCACGCAAAACCGCCAAGAACCGTCCTTCTTCACCAAGAGGGCTCGACTGGCGAATGGGCTGTAAGAAGGTTGAATAATCTTGTGCGTCAATTGCTCTACTACTAATTACTCCAGGATGTTCGTCTAGGGATGTGAGTATCTATACGGCTGTTGATTCACCGGTGTCGAGCCCAGTTGCAAGATGATGACATGATCAAGGGGCCTGGGTGGTGGAAAGATAAATTTTTCAGAGAAAACCCCAAGGAAGTTGTACTGTAATGTCCGAACAGTTGCTCTATGGGCCTCGATTGCTAGCACAAGCATTGTCAACACTGACATTTATATGGTCCCCCTTCTTGACCATCTTCGTAAGGCTTGTGGCTTCCCCTTGACATGGTTGCTTGCTTCCCATTACATGTGGTATATGTCTTCTACATAGAAATGGATAAGGGGAGGTCGTAGTTGGTGGTGATCCACCCGTGTCCGAAGCCACTGGACACCCATGAAGATCTTCACACCAACGTCATCCATCAAGAGAAGGTTATGTGTGACTAGGTACCCCTAGATCAGCACCTACACATCATGGCCCACCCTATCACCGAAGGTCGTGTGGTTCTCACCCAAGGTGATGCGGTACGGTTGGGTCCTAGATGTTGGCAGTTGCAAGCGGGCGGCAAGATGTCAGCATATATAGCTGTGTGAAGCCCCACCATCCACCATGACCGCCACCTCACAGCCATGGATGCTTCCCTTCATTCTGAGGGTACCGATTGACAAGACACCCAACATGGCGTGCAGCGAGACGCTCATGCCCTCAAGGTTGTCCCTAGGATTTGGCAGCTCGTCGGCCCCGAGTGGGATGTCTTCCTCATCATCAAACCATGTCTCCCCATTGTCGTCGTGGACGACTATGAGGTTGAGCTCTCTCTTGCAACAATGGCCTGGAGTGAACTTCTCATCACAAGAGAAATAGGGTCCTTACATCTTTCGTCTCTAAAACTCGACATCTATGAGGGTCAAGCTTCTCTGTGGACCCCTTGGAGGCCGCCCTCCATGCGCTTTTTGAGTGCTCGGGGCTTTGGGGCCAGGCCCTTTGGTCTTGGGAGTAGGGGGGGTTGATGCACAGTGGTTGACCCCTTCGTCGTTCTAACTTGGCTTCAGCTTGCCGAGCACACTTCAGAGCTATCCTGATGCAGGTTGGTTCAGCTTTGTACACCTCAGTGCAGATGTCCTCCCGAAACATGTTGACAAAAGCTATTTTGAGCACTTCACAATTTATGTGGGCCATGAAATCCACTATCTCTTCAGACTGGATTATCAACTCCTTGACTGTGTCCATCTACTTCAGAGCCATCAGCCGGGCTAGGGGGATGGTCGTGGAGAGTCTAAACCATTCAGAGAGCTGCGTGGTGAAGTCACACCAACTCGCGAACCCTTCTATGTGACTCTAGTAATGGAACCATGATAATGTTGTAGCCTTGAGGTGGGTCATAACGAGGTGCAGCTGGTCTCATTCCTCGGTGGGGTTTAGTTCAAAGGACTGGTTGGCGCACATGAGCCGCCAATCGGGGTCACCTCCCAAAAATACGGGTAGCTCTCCCTTGTGATGTGGGCGTGCTTCGCGCCGAGGTTCGCAAGGGCCCATGTTTTACTAGCTGCCCGAATCTTCTTCATAGCCACCCTGGTGCTCCTCCCATTGTGTATCCCTCATCAAATCTCTAAAAAGAGGTCTAGTGTGATGTAAAGGTGATTGCTCCTCAACACCATGACCCCGCCGTGGTCCCGCTGAGGCAAGGCTGGGCCCAAGTCTGTCTTAGGGTTGCTTGTGGTACCGCATCCTATGTCGGGACTGGTTTGACCGCCCGCTACTTGGCAACAGTTACTCCGCGATGCAGAAAGCTTACCGACATGCCTCTCGGTTATAGAGCGGTATGGGGGCGCCCGAGAAGACATCCCATTGGGTATGGTGGCATAGTCCGCTGACATGGGGTGGTGTGATGGTGCTCTGTAAGACGTCCCATCTAGTGTCGACCTATGGGGTGACTATTGGGCAGGCAATGGGGGCAGCGACGCCTAGATGGGCAGAGGGAGGAGGCCCGAGTAGGGGCAGGGTTGCGACGATTATCCAGACTCCGATGCCTTAGATCGATGATGCTCGGGGTGACATGTCGTCGATCTGGACATCGATGCACTAGAGGCATTGCAGGAGCGCGATGAGCGGCTCCTGGAGGGTCCCCTGGATGCGGCGACGCAGGCAGCCATCGTGGCGAGGGAGGCTTAGACATCGGCAAGCTGGGCAGCAACCGCCTGGACTATAGCCGAGTTAGTGGCTTGGGCGACAATGACGTGGTCTGCCTTGGCTTGGGCTGTGGCCGCAGCTTGGGCGACAATGACTTAGTCAGCTGCCAAGGCCCGGATTATGTCTTTGCTCTCGGTGGTGGACTGGTCCATGAGAACGGCTTTGGAACGTGTGATCATGCAACAGTGGTTGTGGGAGGATGGCTCTGATACCAAATGGAGTCCCAATGAATTCTAGGACTCCACCGAAGTTTGATGGGTTTCTCATAGAAGAGAGAGAGACAGACAGACTGATAGACAAAGAATAGAGAGAGGAAGATGGGATCCATAGGATAAGGGTAGTCCAAGTTAGGGACGGCGCCACTCTGCAATGTCATTGGGGAAGGAAAACCTAGACGGAAACCGGAGGAGAGGGAAGGTTTGGAAATCCCTTCAAAGGAAGGTGAGACAATTAGAGTCACATGCTAGTTTCTACCTCCCGATCAATCCTTCTGGTATTTTTGTCAAATTAGGGTAAGCCCTCTGTAGGCCTCTCGTTGTTGGGCTGATGCACATATTTATTGGGTTGGTGCCTAACAGATCACACCTTTGGTATGTCATCATTGTGCCTATAAGACATTACTTGAGTTGAGAGTGATTTAAGATCAGACAGAACAAACCTACCTCAGCATAGACTTCTACAAACCATCATATTGACACAAGAAAAAAAATTCTTAAAATCTATCTAACATCAAAGTAAAATACATGACTTTTATATAAGAGAGAGAGATGAGAAGAGATAAATAATGAGTCATAGTGGGCTAGAAATCTAATATCACTATCAAACATTCTCCTTCAAGTTGTAGTATATAAGTAAAACATGTCCAACTTAATACGTGTGGCGTTATAAGAAATGTCTACGAAACTCTTAGTGTAGACGTCTTGGAGATAAACATTGTCGTGATAAAGTGTCATAGAGTAGTTGACTTGATCAGAAGAAGAGCAGCAACTAGCTGAAGAACTAACATAGGAGGTGCTTGAGATAAGATGATGTTGGGAAGAGACATCCCCAGAGCCGCACAAGGTGCCAGGAGGTGACGCGTGAGGTGTTGGAAGGCAAGGCGCGGGGTGTTGAGAGGTGACGCGTGAGGCATTCAAGAGGTGGTGCGGGGCACTAGAAGACCTTGTGCAAGGCACCAGGAGGTGATGCGTGAGGCGTCAAGAGGCAGCACGGGGTGCCAGGAAGCAACACACGAGGCGTTGAGAGACATCGTAGTGCGCCAAGAGATGACGTACCGGGAGGTGATCCATGAGGTGTCAGGAGGTGAGGCGCAGGGTGCCGGGAGGCAACGCATGAGGAGTCAGGAGGCAGCACGAGGCACCAAGAGGCAACACACTGGGCGTCGACAAGCATCGAGAGGTGATGTGGTTCTAAGTCATTATTAGAATCATCAATTGATTTTAATAATTTATAGAACTAGATTCACCAAAAAAAAAAGATATAGTGGTGAGCTATGTCGTCTCCTTAGAGAAGGTTTTCAAAAAAAAATTATTCTCTAATTTAAAGAATTATGAAATTGATTAGAAGATTGAAATTGATATTCGAAGTAATAAAGGAAATAAAATGGCAAATAAATGTAAATATAACTTTAAAAATTAAATAAATTAAAATCAATAAATGAAATATACTTTAGAATGATAAAAATAGAAGAGAAACAAGTAAAGAAATAATTAAACCTAAGAAAACAAAATTGTTCCACAGATCAAATAAGAAAATAATGAAAAATCTATCAAAAATAAAACTTACAACCCTTAGAATGCATGGCTTGATGTTGACCTCTGGGTAGCGCTTCTCAATCTTACATCCAATTCAACAGAATGGATTTAAGGTGAAAAGGATAGAAGAAAACAATCAAAATCAACAATGTACTTTTCAGATTTTCATTTTCACATGAGAAATGAGAACAATGTTTTCTCTCAATAACAACTCTCTTTCTCTCTCCTCTTCTTTTTTTTGTACCCCAGATCCACAAATCACATTTTCTAATTTAACTTCTTATTTTCTGCCGTATTTTTCCAATTTTTTCTGATTTTTCTGGCATTTTTCTCTTTCTCGCATGGCAATAATCAATATTACCTATTTTATCATATGATAATTGATATTTGAACATATACCTTTCTGCATGCAAGAATAATTGATATCATCTATTTTACCAGATGATAATCAATATTTATATATATATCCTCTAACATGTGGCTCGATGAAGATCATTGGATCCTCGCATCGTCATTTTGCTCTGAACAATGTGACGCGGATTTGAACATTTTACGTGGCCCAATAACCGTTGTTAGATCTCCGTCACCTCTCACTCCTTTTGCGCATGCTTTATGGCTGCGACATGACGTTTCCTGGATCGTCAGATCTGCTAGTGGTCACCGTTGGATCTTGGAGATCCTTTTCATATGACGGTGGCGGTGACGTGGCTTCATGCGGTGCGTCAGCTCTAACCATTGCTATCGGGCTACCATTAGATCTGAAAAGAATAACAAGATACATTTAGTCCCGTATTATAAAATATTATGCGAGTGTTATCATATAATAATGAAGGCCTCATATTATATTTATTTTAATGCCTAAAAATTTTGAAAAAATTATATAAAATATATTTCAATTAATCATAAAAATGTAGCACAATAAGATTTTATTTAGAAATAAAATAAATAAAAATTAAGCATCAAGATATGAAATAAATTCTCATAAATTTATTTTTTATTCATAAAATATTAGAGATGTTTTAGAGATGTTCATTTAAATAAAAAATAAAATAATTAACATGATAACTTGTGAAATATTTCTCAAATATGTATTATTTTCCCTGATTTGATAATAGATTAATATATAGTTTTCACAAGTTATCACATCCCCCAACTTGAATCATTGTTAGTCCCTAAGCAATGAAAATAAAACATGTATTTAAAAATTAAGAAACATCATCAAGTAATCATAGATCAATTATATATCAGAGTTAAACTACCTTTGGTATAAAAATATTTTTCCAAGGTATATACTTCAAACATTTTCATGATTTTAAGCATGCTTCTCAATACTCTACATATAATAATAATTGTACTACATAAGTAAGGAAAAGAATTCACCTCATCAAGAAATAGCATTGATAGATACCTTACACTATAAATGATATATATGGGATAGAGATTGTGTCAAATCTTGTATATAAATGGCTAAGGCACATGGAAAGTAATTTTCAAAAATCATACAATAATTAATGGGGTTTTATCCTCAGTACTTACTATGAGAGGAATGCCCAGATGTCTCACAGCGTACCCCATGTGCTTTTCTTTGGTCCTACCCTTTTGCAACTTTTTTTTTTTTTTCACTTTGAATACTTGCTACAATAGAGATACCCTGATGTCTCACAGCAAACTCCATGTGCTTTCTTCAAGTTCAACATATTTTTATTACAAATAATTGTAATATTCTTTCCATGTGTTGCCTTAATCAGATAAACAGCTTATTTCCCTGAAGAGGTTTTGTATCCCTCTTGGTTCATGGGGTTTCACACATCTGATGCTAAAAAAAATGATTTTCATGCAAGGTTTAGTCACACTAGATCATGAGAAGTGAACAAGTAAGATGAGAAGTCTAAAAATCAAGAAATAATAAATATAACCATGAGTTTGAGATGTGTGCTTCAATTCACTTCTATGTTTTTAAAGCAACCTAGGGAAACGTTTGAACCTTTAGCGTGACATAGAACTTACAACATATAGTAAGTTCTTCGTCTAACTCATCTATAAATCAATCCATATAGTGATCCATGATGTATTCTTTATTTCAATATTTTCATAATTAATATACACTAAATTATATCTTTGAGTTTTTCTAAATTTCCTCCTTACCCCCAAAATTTAGTCGTTTTATTCTCTCTAATAAAATATGTTCTTGAGATTATAAAAGAAATAAGCATCATAGCATTTATCTCAAGTATGAAATATCAAGAAGAAAAGTTTAGAAAAACTCATTGAATATTCATATATAATTCTTTAACTCCTTGAATTCTCTGTTGATGATATCCAGTCCCTTAAATTATCTAAAAAGAAAAATCATTAGCTAAAAATATAAGAATGTTAAAATTGTCAAATAAAATATAGATCATAGATGAAATATGGAAGAGAAATCCGTCCCCCGTCGGGAGGCGTCGGGAGGTGGCGCGGAGGGTCGTCGGGAGGTGACGCCCGGGGCGTCGGGAGGCGGTGCGGGGGGTCGTCGGGAGGGGGCGCTAGGCGCCGGGAGGTGGCGACGCGCAGGGCGTAGGGTGGCGGCGCGGGGCGCCGGGATGCGACGCGCGGGGCATCGGGAGGCGGCGCGGGGGCGCCAAGAGGCGACGCGCAGGGCGTCTAGAGGCGACGGGCGAGGCGACACGTCAGGCGTCTGAATGCGACGTGCGAGGCGTCGGGAGGTGGCTTGGGGCGCCAGGAGGCGACGCGCGGGGCGTCTGGAGGCGACGGGAGAGACGACACGCGAGGCGTCTGAAGGTGACGTGCGAGGCGTCGGGAGGTGGCGCGGGGCGTCAGGAGGTGGCGCGGGGTGCCGGGAGGCAACGCGTGGGGTGTCAAGAGGTGGCGCGGGGCGCCGGGAGGCGACGCGCAGGGAGTCGGGAGGCGGCGTGGGGCGCCGAAGGCGACACTGGGCGTGCCGGGAGGCGACGCAAAGTCCCCGAGCTGACGAGAAGAGAACTTGGTATCTCTATGAAGTCGAGGGCACGCCGGAGAGGGAGGCGGCTACTGGAGAGAACCTGGCTCTGATACCATATTGACACAGGTGAGGAAAACCCTCCTATCGAACACTATCGAACACTATCAGTAAGAGAAAAAATCTACCATGCAAGTCACACTGAGTTTTCAGTTGACATCCATACAACTCAAGAATCAAGTTAGAATCCTTCTAACAAGAAGCAAGCAGAATAGCCATTGAGTTAAATATTTTCTTTCCCTCCACCAGTCGTCCTCATACCTGCTTCCCATGTTATGGGCATCTATGCATGTCGAAACTAGGACCTGGCCTTTCAAGGTAACATAGTAGAGATATCCTCCTTATAAGTGGCAAGTGGCTGCAATACTAATTTTATATTTTATGCGCTAGGCATGACATCTCAAAAATACTAGCAAAGGTTCAAAAATGGAATGCTACCCTACTGGCAACATGGCAAAATTTCATGCACAAAACTTGGTCTGAAACTATATTATCTACGCTGATAAATGAATAAAACTTGGACTATCCTCCACAAACCAAGATTATCAGTCAATGAAATATAAACAAATTATTTAAATCAACATCAGTTGTTTCCACATTCAAAATTATGTACTCTGCTGATAAACTATATTTTGATATTGATTAAACAAATCGTTCTACATAATGCTGCAAAACAAACTCAATATATGATCAAGGTGTGCAAAATGAAAAGAAAAAGGAACATATGATCAGGAGATTTAGACAAGGACGTAGATGTCAGGAGTTGACTAGAACACCTCGTGTTGAGCATAATAAATGCTCCGAGAGCATATATATATATATATATATATATGTACAAAAATAGAAGAAATCGTGTTAGAATGAAACCACTCGGGTACTTGATAGAATAAGATCAGTTAAATCGTGTTGGAATTAAAGGTAAAGAAAACAAATCAAGTTATAAGAATGTCAGGAAGTTTGACACTATTCTAACGTCAAGAACATATTGCGACTAGAAAAAAGAATACACCAGACCCAAGGGTCAGAAGAGGATATCTACTGACATGTTGCACTCGTAAGGGGGAGTATTGATGTGCTACTAGCAGGCCCATCACATCCTTGTAGAAGGATGACATAAAGAAGCAGGCCGCCACCACTTCCATCTCATTTCACATCCACAGGTATCGAGGAACAACTCGCACACGATGCAAAGGATCTGCAGCATCAGCCACACAAGGGTTCCAAGAAACAAGTCGGCTATAAAGAAATGAGGAGGAGGAGAGGAGGATAGACGGCCATTAGAAAAATATTCCCCGAATAGAGAGTGGAGGTTTGCCCCCTCATAGTGGCTAGTATCAGGCTTCTGTCCAGTCCATTATTCTCTCCCCTCTTTCCGCCTCTCTCGTGTGTCTCCTTAGGGAGAGTCCTGTATCGGGGTACGACCCCACCTTTTTCTCTTGTTTACAAACCAAACTACTTCGCGGTTCATTTCCCTATCCTACCATCTCCCACGCCCTCGACCCTACTCTTCGCACCCCCACGGGACTCCCCGCAGTAAACAGAAAGGTCCATCCATCTCCGGAGAGAAGGGACCTATCAAGCTGGTATCAGATCCCCCACCATTCCTCCCAAAACCAGCCTCCGACAAGCCTTCCCAACCGTTTTTGTGCCTGTCAACGGCTTGCCACCAGCCCACAAAGTGGATCATGTGATCCCATAGGAGGCCGATGCAAAACCCATCAATAGCCACCAGATGGAGTTGGAAAGGATGGTCCGCGAAATGCTCACCTCTAGAGTCATTCAGCATTCAACCAGCCCATACTTCAGCCCGACGCTTCTGTAAGGAAGAAGGACGATTCGTGGTGGTTTTGTGTGGACTACTGCGCCCTCAACCGTGTCACCATGCCGGATCGATTCTCAATTCCCATCATCGAGAAACTTCTAGACAAACTCCACGGTGCCAAAATCTTCTCCAAGCTTGATCCGCTCGGGCTATCATCAAATAAAAGTCTGGAGTGAAGACGTCCCCAAGATGGCCGTCTGCATGCATGAGGGACACTATGAATTTCTGGTCATGCCGTTCGGACTCTCCAATGCGCCGGCCACCTTCAAGTCACTAATGAACTCGATCTTTGCCAGTTACTTGTGCAGATTTGTCCTCATCTTCTTTGATGACATCCTGGTTTACAGCCTGAGCCCGAAGGAACACAAAGAACACCTAAGGCGCGTGCTAGCCGTCCTCCATGCCAATGCCATGCACCTCAACCAGAAAAAGTGTTCTTTCGGGAAAGCCTAGATGATATACTTGGCCCATCAAGTCATCGGCGAAGGGCATGTGCATTGACCCAGAGAAGATCGATGCAGTCATCTAGTGGGCGCTGCCCACAATGATCCATCAACTCCGAGGCTTCCTCGGTCTAACCGGTTATTATTGGTGCTTCATCGCGTATTATGGCACGATTGCCTGACAACTTAAGAAGGACGCGTTCAACTGGGAACAAAAGCGGACGCAGCTTTCCGACAGCTCAAGGAGGCCCTCACGACCACTGCGGTACCCGCTCTCCTCGATTTCTCTATTCCTTTTGATATGGAAGCCGATGCATCAGCTTGAGGTGTTGAGGCGGTCCATATACAACACCGGAAGCTTATCGCGTACTTCAGCCAGGCCCACTTGGCACCGCACCAGCTGAAGATGGTCTATGAGTGAGAGCCCATCACCATCATCCTGGCCATCTTTAAATGGAAGCACTACCTACTTGGCGCCAAGTTTGTATCTACACCAACCAAAGGAGCCTCAAATACATTATTGATCAGTGGGAGATCCTTCCAAGCTATCGAAAGTGGATCGGAAAGATCATCAACTTCCAATTCAAGGTGTGGTACAAGGTCGGGGCTGAGAACAAAGCAGCAGATGCATTGTCCAAGTGACCCGACGACATTGTATACAACAGTTAGGATTTGCACCAGCCATAGTGGATGGACATGCCCCACGTCATCCATGAATATCCATCCGATCCACGACTGCGGACGATCCTACAGGACCTTCAGACCCAGCCGAAGAGATGGCCAAAGTACTCCTAGCGGCACGGAGTGCTCTTACACCACGGACAGCTAATAATTGCGCAGAATTCCCCGTTCATTTCCTTGCTTCTTCATGAATTCCATGATTCAGAAATAAGGTGACACTCAAGATTCATACGCAAGTGGTTGGGTCAAAACGTGACCTAGACCGGAATGAAGAAGGTAGTCCGTGACTACATTGCCGCCTGTGGGATCTGTTAAAGGAACAAGAGCGAGACCCTGCAACCAGCAGATCTCCTGCAACTACTGCCCATTCCCGAGCGCATTTAGGAAGACATATCGCTGGATTTCATCGAAGGACTCCCAAAGTCTGAAGGGTTCAGCACTATCTTAGTGGTCGTTGACTGCCTTAGCAAGTACATGTATTTCTCTCCAATCAAGCACCCTTTCACAGCAAGTGAGATCACCCACGTCTTCCTCAGAGACATCGTCCACCTGCACGAGATTCCTTAATCCATACTGAGTGGCCGTGACAAGATCTTCATGAGTACCTATTGGTGAGAGCTTTTCAAGCTATAAGGCACTCTTCTCGGACGAACTAGTGCATACCATCCCTAGACAAACGGCCAAACGGAAGTCGTAAACTGTTGTTTTGTAGGCGATTGCCCCCGACAATGGAGCAGATGGCTCACCTAAATGGAATATTACTACAACACCAACCTCCATGTCTCGACAGGCATCCCTCCCTGCTGCATCGTCTACAGCAGACCCCAGCCAGCCTCCTACCATACAAAACCAGTGCGACGCGAACAGACGAGGTCAACGGCCTGTTTGAAGAACACGATGTTGCCTTTTGTCAGCTCAAGGAACATTTGACCCTTGCCCAACAGAAAATGAAAGCGAATGCAGATCGGCACCGTCAGGAGCTCGAGTTTGAGGTCGGCAATCTCGTCTACCTCCGTCTACAGCCATATCGGCAACGCTCCTTGGCAAGGCGTGCCTACGAGAAGCTCGGGCCCTGCTATTTTGGGCCATTCGAAATCGTGGAAAAAGTAGGAATGGTTACCTACTGGCTCGTCCTACCTCCGACCGCGGGAATCCACCTGGTTTTTCACGTGTCTCAACTCAAGAAAGCAGTAGGGATGCCAACTGACTCTGCCGCTAGACATGGATCTTGCATGGACAACAGAGCCTACTGACATCATCAGGAGCCTGAAAGCACCTAGGAAGTCGCCACACACCTTTGCCGACAATTTCCCAACTTCCCCCTTCAAGACAAGGTGGCACTCGTAAAGGGGAATATTGATGGGTTACTAGCGGGCCCATCACATAGTCACAAAAGGAAGACCCAAAGGAAGCAGGCCTCCACCACTTCTGGCTCATTTCACATCCACAGGTATCGAGGAACAACTCGCACACGACGCAAAGGATCGGCAGCATCAACCACAAGTATCGAGGGTTCCAAGAAGCGAGTCAGCCATAAAGAGACGAGGAGGAGAGGAGGATAGACGGCCATCAGAGAAGTATTCCCCGAGTAAAGAGTGGGGGTTTGCCCCCTCGGAGTGACTTGTATCAGGCTTTTGCCTAGTCCATTGTTCTCTCCCCTCTTTCCCCCTCTCTCGTGTGTCTCCTTAGGGAGAGCCCTGTATCGGGGTACAACCCCACCCTTTTTTTCCAGTTCTCTTGTTTACACACCCAACTACTTCGCGGTTCATTGCTCTCTCCTACCATCTTCCGCGCCCTCAGCCCTAGTCTTTGCACCCAAGTGACTCCCCCTCGGTAAACAAAAAGGTCCATCCATCTCCGGAGAGAGGGGACCTATCACTCCACCAGTTCGCTTTTCAAACCAAAGCAGTTGATATATCATAAGAAGACATTTTCAACGGCAAAAAACTAACCTTGTCAGGAAGAAGCGTGGTTTTTCTGCGTTTCTTGCCCCACTGTCATAGTCCTCCATCTGCCTCCTCTCCCTTCCACTCTCTACTAAATAACTCACCGCACTCCTCAAGAGACTTGATCTCCTCCACCTCGGCCGACCTCCCCATTTCATTCTCGTTGGCAACTCTCCTACTCCTCGCAACTCTCCCTATCCTGGAGGTCCCAGCAGCGGAAGTCCCCTCCACTTGGACCACCGGATTCGACGGCGCCACCCGGCCTCTGCGCGCCCCACTACGAAACGCCGGGATCCTTCATCCATGAAACCGCTTGCCCCCAACCCTACCTCCCCTCCGATCCCCCTGAGGCTTCTTCTGAGCACCCACCAATCGACTGACTCAGCCGGGGTACGCCAGACGGCGAACCAGTTCAGCGCCAGAGATGGACAACGCAGCTCCCAGAGAGGACAGATCGGGAATTAGGGTGGCATCAATGAGAATTCAAGAGGAAAAATAATATGAAAACCCTGGAAAATTCCAGACTTGAAGAACGCAGCGAGACACAGAGAGAGAGAGAGAGAGAGAGAGAGAAAACGGTTACTGGGACGATCGGGCCTTGGTCGCTGCTCTTTAGGCCCACGAATAGGTAGGCCCATATTGCAATTACCCCATTGGGCCAGGCCTGTGCAGCACATCCACGTGAGGAATTTGGAGATATTCCTCATCCGTCACAGCGTAAACGGGCCCAAACCCTATCCCGGGCCGTGGGCCGCACTAGATGAGGCCCAACCCGAAACATAATGGGCCTTGTAGCGCGGAAAGGATCGAATGAACCCCGATGTATGGCCCATAATGTAATCCGATAGTCATTGCCTAACATTTAATATTATATGGATTGCCCACGACGACGTAGACTGGCACGTGCTAGAGCATCATAATCTGTGGATCAACGCGTGCCATGGAATAGCTGAAAAAAAAATGGACACGGCCGCCTCCCCCCGCCTTCGTCATCTGCCATTTCTCCTTTATAACCCCTCCCACCCCCCTCTTCCCCCGTCTCATTCTCTGTATCTCTCTGTCTGTAGCCAATCTCTCTCTCTCTCTCTAGGCGATCTGTGCTCTCTCGCTCAACTGGTGGTGAGGCTATGGCGGAGGATCTGCTGGAAGGGACGGTCCACGCAGAGGTAGCAGGAGCCACGGCGGACCAGGTGTGGAGGCTGCTCGACTTCTGCAACATCCAGCGGGTGATGGCAACCATGGAGTCCTGCACCAGAGTGGAGGGCATCGACGGCGAGCCAGGATGCAAGAGGTACTGCGTCGGGAAGCCCACCGCCTTCGGCTATGGCGGGGAGGCCTTCGTCCCCTGGGCGTACGAGAGGCTGCTGGCGATCGATCCGGCGGAGCGGAGCTACTGGTACAAGGTCACGGACAGCAATTTAGGGCTCCGGGGGTACACCGCCGAGATGAAGGTCATCGACGACGGCAGCCGGTGCACGCTGGAGTGGTCGTTCACGGCGGAGTCCCTGGGGATGACAACCAGGGACACCTTCGTGCAGAACCTCCGGGAGACACTACGGGGCATCGCGCAGTGTATCGAGGCCGCCGTCGCGTCGGGAGAGGCCTGATTCTCTCTCTCTCTCTCTCTCTTACCTCTCTCTGTATCTTCCTCTCTCCGATTGACAGATTTTTCGGTGACCAGTCATCTAGTTTTTTCTGCCTTCTTCAGAGCTTGCCTTGTTGAATTGGACTCAACGACTTGGTCGTAGAGATTCTGCTTTAAAAAAACATCCGAGCCGGTCTCCATCTAGGAGATGAGAGAGAGAGACAGATGGATAGAGAACGAGTGGCGGCTAAAGAGGTCGTACGGTCATTCCACGGTCTAAGAATGACGTGTCATCTGATATCAGCTCCACATACGAAATTAGCCGTTCTTCCTGTGGGGACCGAGAAAAGGGACCGGTACTTCAGTCAACGACCCAGGCCCAAATCGGAGGGAGTGGACAGAGCCCATAATGCCAAGGCCCAGAGAGGCCCATTAACGCACCTTCAGGAGCCCGTTCTCGACGCGTGCAGGAAGCCCAAACTCATCTCCCAGCTATATACTCAATGAGGCGCCGGTCGAGGTCGAAGTGCCGGCACAGAATGCGCTGCAGCCAGAGGAACAGCCAAGCCCGGTCAGTCAGTGTTCGTGGGTCTCTGCATACATCTGAGACCGAGGAGACCAACCCTGGTAATGGCTGGCGAGTTCGAGTCGTCGGCAAGCCTCGGAAAGCGGGCAACCTCCGTCGAATGGTCAAATAATACGTATGTTGGGAGCTGCCCCAGCGCACCTTCAGCTCCATGGAAGAAGAAGAAGAAGAAGAAGAATAAGTGAAGGAAAGATCTCCTCAAAAGGGAAGTTCAGTTCCAAGATAATATGCTGTACCTTCTACAGATATTCCATATTTATCCGCACAATTCGGGAAGTGCCCGAGATCTATGATGCCAAATGAGATGTTCTTGTTCGAGTATCTGCAACCAGAAGGAGAGAAGTTCCAAGTCTCTCATCAGATCGACCTGAGCTTTTCTGGGTGAGGTGAGAGACCATGAAATCTAGAGTGAGAAAGCTCAGGTGGAAGACTCACATGACGGAGAGCTCGGGCAGAAGACGGCTCGTGCGGATGCATCTGGAGGAGAACTGATTACGGAATTCCACCTGCAGAAGAACATGGAACCTAATCATTGACCTACTCTCTGAAGGATCATATCCAAGAACAGACAGTCAGATCAATCAGCGGACATAAGGTGTGGCTGTTCTTGGCATACTTAAAATAGTCTGATACAGAAGGAGATAGATTAAACCACTCATTTTGGATCAATTCTGAGTTGGGTGGTGATATTATGTTTCGTGTTCAAAAATGACACCAAATGATTGTATGAGGTTATTCTAACGAAAAAAGAAAAAATGGTGTCAGGTTTGGTGCGCCACGGTAGGTGATGTACTGACCTCAGGAGCAAGGAAGCTAGGTAAAGATGCCTAAAATCAGAAGCCAGAGAGTATTTCTATTACTTCTAAAGACACCCTCCACAGGTCTTTAGAACACTGATTTTGCCCCCAAGGGACCCATGAGGGTGAGGAGACAGTGATGGTCTCGTGTTCTAGAAGCTAGAGCAATCTGGCTCTCTCACGATAGCTGAGAGGTTGAGCTTGCATGGTGGGCCAACACTAGAGGAAACACAGTTGTTAGATCACAGTTCCTGCTTACATATATATAGCCCGTGAGCACAGACAGTACTAGGTGCATATGACTCACCAGCCAATATCTTGAGGTGCCTCCTTCAGTCAACAATGTTTCTAGTTGCAGAGGCGTCAATTTACATGAATCACCTAAAAGACAATTGAAAATTTGAGATCCCATGTGATTTAATTTTCTCCCTTCTTGAGGATATAATGAAATAAATAAATAAGAGCCTGCTTCATATGGAATATAGAAATGAACAATGCATTTGAGACTAATCATTGACGCAACTGTGATGCAACTCTGAACCGGTAAATTTATCGAAAACATCATCTTTTTCCGTCCCATTTTTCTGGAGTTCTTTGAGACATTCAGCACAGCTTCATTTCATTAAAGCATGATTAAAGCACTTATAACCAAATTGATTCAATTTAAAACATAGTTTACAACATATTTTCACAGCATAATTTTAGTAAAGGAGTATCCTGAATGCATCACACCGTAAATGGCGCATTTAAGGAGATTGATAAACCTGTTTTGATGAATTTCAGCTATTTTATGATTTTCTCAAAATTTTAGACATTTCCGGTTGGAAGAATTCATACCCGAGGTCTCACATTCACTGACCAGGCACACCTAGACTCCCAAGGCCTCCTTTTATGGCCGCTAGTTGTTTTTCTGCTCTCCATGGTCATTCATCAAACTTTAATTCACTACCAAATTCACCAGCCTAAACTAAAATGGTTGAAACTGCTCTGAATTTCCTATAGAACTCCCTTGTTGTTTCGTATGGACATAATATAACCCGAATTCTGAGTCACCAGGATGACCTCACAATACCTCGCTGTCTCCTATGTATTTATTTTTGAAGAGGTGACATCTACAGCATGTAGATTCTGGTCCTTTTAGTTTATTGGATGTACCTGATATGAGCAGTAGTCAGAAAGACATCCTAGACCTCAAAAGTTTATATTTGATTAAGACAGGAACAGGTTTTTACTGATGGTCCTGCATAAATTAAGCTTCCTAAGTGCACAGATGATAACATTTTTATTGATATGACTTGCTTACTACATTAAATTATGGTCACCAGGCTGAATCTCTTTCTTCAAAATCAGACCACAAAACGGATCCCCACAAAAAGTCAGAGAACTCAGAATAACAGCATTGGGCCCCATAGCAAATGCCGAAAGAAAGGGAAAAAATAGAAGAAATCATGATAAAACATGGAGAGGAAATCATACTTAACTAATGAATGCTACACAACATTTTTATTGGCATGATCTACTTACTACATTAAATTATGGTCACCGGGCTGAATTTCTTTCTTCAAAATCAGACTACAAAAGGAATCCCAAGAAAAAAAAAACACAGAACTCGGATTAATAGCAAGAGACATGAAGAGGAAATGATAGTTAACTAATGGTAATAAAATAACAAAATCTAAGAGTCAAATGTATTCGACAATCTAATGATACTTCAAATTAAGAATCTAATGATATCTTAAATCATAACCTTAAACAGGTGAATGTCCTTGCTCAGATATTGACAATTCATGGATTACTTTCATCGGATGTTAATCCATATCTATAAGAAGAATCAAGAAGATAGTTTACCTAAATTATCACAGCTTGGTTGTTGAGCCAAAACAAATATCACTGCGAGAAATACAAAAATGGAAAATCAAAGTCAATTTAGCAAAATCAAGAGTAAATTCGTTTACACAACCGATTTTTAGATGGAGGACAATAGACAGAATTTAATAAAGAAGAAAACAAAAAAGGTACAACATAAACACTGGAAAAAAATGCCAATATAAAAATATAGTAAATTTATGCATATAGGTTCATATAATCAGAACCCAAATACCAGCTGAGCCAAGCAAGAGCCTGAAGGAGAGGAAGATGACTGGAGGCTATAATGCTATTTACGATTATTTGGAGAGAGAGATTCAAAAAGAATTTGAGAGCTGAAACATATTTTTTAAGGGAGAAATAGGGTAACTGACTTTTGGGTTTCGTTTGCTGAACTAGGAAAAATGTTAATTTTAAAGTTTACAAAGATTCAATGAAAGGATGTCATCTTCTCTAGAATTTTCCATAAAGTCAGACTTTCATTCTACCTAAATTAGCAATTCATAGTTGTCATTCTATGGGTGTCATCCAAGTAATCAATCTTTGCCTGTTATTACTTTACGTGCTTCTGGATGAGCATACGTGAAAAAGTATGTTCTTGATGAAAATAGTTAAAAAACATCATCTAAAATTAAGTATCAATTAAATGGATCACCTGATTACAAGCAGAGAAAACCAAAGCCATTGGAAAAATCTGAATAGTTAAAAAGAAGGAAAAAAAGAGTTCACTTCTAAAACGTCTCTGCAGGGATTGAATATCAGAATAATTAATGATTCAACGAGTCCGACCCACCCTTTTTTTTCGGATGGCATTGTTTTGTGGATATGCCTGTAAGCAATAAGAACAAAACATTTTGATGTACTTATTTGCTTTCGAATGTCAGACCGATTTCATTCACATCCTAAAACAAACATGCCTTGGGAAGGAAAAGGTAGAAATATAAGGAAAGCATGTTCTGCTGAGAACCTTTCATCAGATTACCATTTCTTCCATCAGAAAATCATGATTTGCTAAATCAGTTGATTGTGTTCCAATTGGATAATTCATATAAGAATCGATCGCCTCTCACTAATGAGAACACAGACAAGGAAAGAGAACCAACAGGCCCCACAAGTACCTATGAAGGGGGAAAAAAATTAGAGGAAAATGAGAGAAAAAAACTATAATGAATGCCACTTCCGTCACTTGTGCTGCCACAATCAACCCCAGGGGTTCCACCTTTTTCCTTTCATCTCACCTCCATCATGAAGACGAATTAAGGTTATGGGGTTGGGAGTATTGACAAAGTGGTAAAAATATAAAGGTAGAAAAGTCAATATGTTAATATTATTTTAAAATGTTTTCCTTAATACTTAAAAAAAATATAATTTAAATATTTTAAAGAATTGGTTCTTCCTTTTATTCCCATTACATGGATCAACTTAATTCCCATTTCCTTTTTGTTAAAACACATGATACTTCTAGAACATTATTGGAGGATCAGCTTCCATAATGTGAGATTGTACAGGAATCAGTGCACAACCAACAACACCATAATAAACATAATCTATTGAGCCCAAAATTTGTGGCAGTAACAATGTACTCAACAGCTGTTCTGAATAAAAATCAAAGAAAAATGGCACAACCAAAGAAAAAACTGTGCATGAAAATAATCACTATTTAAGTTTTACATATCATTCTAAAAGAAATTACAAAGTTAACGCACAAAAGTCATACCTAGGAACCCGATTAGGTAACAGATGGCCAGGTGATAGTCGATGAGCAATGCAAGTACAAAAAGGAAAGCCTGAATAAGCAAGTTCAAACAAGAAAACAGATAAGGCGTTTAATATTGAACGAACAAAAGAAAAATTAAGAGAAGGTGACATCTGATAGCCCTGACTCTGTTTCCAAAAGTTTTATCCTCACTGAATCCGTATAGAATATGATCATAGCGTATATGGTGCCAGTTAGGCATCTTCCAGACATATATGTGGAATGAATAAATTTCAGAATAATCATCCATGGCAAGGATCATAAAAAAACCTTGGCATAGAATACAACATCTGCGATGTAAGCCTCCTGACTTTCTTGATTGACCGCCTGCATAAAAATCACGTTGCAGATTAATAAGTCATGCCAAATTCAAAATTTTCAAGTTAAATTTCATTGTGATTTTATTTATCACGTACATAACTAGACCGATAAAGGTATGAATAAGCATTATCGGAAGGGTTCCGGATCAATCCCCCCATTCATTATAAATTGAAACAGAGTGAACATGCTACCTTTACGACAGCCAGCACCAAAAACGCGAGAATCGCTTGAATCTCCTAAGCAGATGAGAAAAGCAAGAGATTAGATCATACTTCCCCAGATAAATCTTAAAACAAAAATCCATTCATTCGTTGATAGTTTAAGTGAGAGGGATCAAGCTCATTAAGTAATTCCGGGAAACTCCAAGAAAGGCTTACCCGGCGCAGAAGGCGGACATAGTTCTCCCGAGAGGAGAAGATCTCGGTCGCTGAGCTGCGTGCCACGAAGTAGGAGAAGAAGGCGAGGAAGTGAAGCAGGTAGAAGGGCTCCCTCACTAGCAGATCCAGCCATGGCAGTGGGTGTGGCTTCTTCGCCCCAGCTGTCGCCGTGCTGGCCTCCATCTAGCTCCCCCTCCGTCTTCTCACTTCTCGGGAAAACCGGTCTTCCTCTGTTACATCACTAACCCATCGGACGGATGATAACGCCTCTGATTGAATTCGCAGACCCGTTCAGATCCGATCTAAGCCGCCTTTGGGAAACGATTTAATGGTCGGCTTCTCGGAATCAGCTTTTCTGATTCCACGAAAACCGGAGGGATGAATTGGGCCGGCCAGGTCGATTTTACGTTAATGGACTGGGCCTGTAGAAAACTGGCCCATTTGAAGCCCACACCATCCTACCCGTATCCATTTTCCGAAATATAATTTATATTATGGACATTTACTTTTTATCCCTCATAAACTTATTTTAAAAGAGGGTATTAATACGATTAAAACCATCATTTGGGAAAAAAAGAAAAGGAAAATGTCCCTCTCTTCCCGATAGAGATCGACATCCCCACGTTCTGTAGTGCCGTACCCACGAGCGGGTTTGATAATGGACCCAGCCCGTTACATGCACTGGACCGGCCCAATAATTCGCACGTGCGATGGACTGGGTCGTCAGCCAAGGAAAGCGTGAAGCGGGCGTCCTCCCTGTCCACGTGAGGGTGGGGCGCCACCGGCCTCGTCGAGTTTTCTGTGCCGCGGTTAACCAGGCGTTATTTATGTCCGCATTTATGCTCGCGTTTAGCCGACCCACCACCGCGGGCAAGCGAGGCCTCGTGGGAAGATGCCGCCGCCGGCGCCACCGGCCAACCGGCGAAGAAAAGGGGGGGACTCGGCGGCGCTTCACGTGCGCCCCTTCGGGGCGGCGCACATGGGCGGGGCCGGCGGAGGAAGGAAGATCAGAAGCTGGTTAGAATTCAGGCGGAGAAGGAACATCCATCCGGAAAGGGAAACAGGGGAAGGGCGGAGGAAGAGGAGGGCATGTTCTTCTTCTCTTACTCTTCTTCTTCTTCTTCTTGTTCTCTAATTAAGGGAATGGAGGAGCGTGGGAATCAGTGGCACTTGCCTGCGTGAGATGGGGCGCCGGAGATGAGGGCCTCGTGGAGGTTGCCGGGGGGCGGCAGGGACTGTTGCTCCTTCTGGCGGCGCAGCTCGAGGACCTTCCGGTGGGAATTGGAGTGCTCGGAGAGGGAGAAGGTGGGGCTCGCTGCCGGTCGGTACTCGGGAACCAGCCGGCCGGACTTGTACCTGACGCCGCAGGCGTTGCAGAGGGTCTTCGGGCCCATGGGGCCGGCCCGCCACTGGGGGGTCTTGTCGGTGTCGCAGTGGAGGCACTTCCGGCCGTCGCCGGTGGCGCCGGAGGCGGCGGCGCCAGGCCCTTGGGAGGCCTTCTTCTTCGCCGGCTCACCGGCGGCGGCGGAGTCGGAGGAAGAGTTGGCCGCAGAGATGACCAGGAGGCTGGAGGACCAGCAGGTTGGCCCCGGGCGGCGGCGCTTGGTCCGGGCCTTCCCGAGGATGTGGGCCTCCTGGCGAAGCAAGGCGGAGGAAGACGAGGAGGACTTGAGGCCGGAGATCAGCTGGTGCTTCTGCAGGTCCTCGCTGGAGAAGGACTCCTCCACGAAGTTGGAGAGCCACTCCAGCTCTGCAAGCTCGTCGTACTGCTCATTAACACAGACTCTAATCATCGACCAAATTTAAGAACAAATTACAGAGACGTTATGCATTGTTATCTTTGTTTCATTTCGGGCGGAGCAACCAGTGAGCGAGACGATCGGTCCTCGGGCCGGCGAAACATATGGCGACAGAAACCAGAAAATCGCCGGAAGGTGAACGAAGCTGGAGACGAACCACACCCAACAGAGAAGTGTAAAATCGGAGAAAAAGTGGACGAGGGAATGGAGATTGTTCGGAAACCGTAGCTGGATGAAGAACAACCGGATGAGATAGATTTCCGACGATAAGAGGTTTCCACAGGGAAGGGGGGGGCGCGGTGGGAAGAGAAGGAAGGAGAGTGGCGGTACCGGCACGCAGAGACCGTCGGAGAGGCATGCATCGGCGGAGCGACAGTCGCCGGAGAAATGCTGTTCGTTGCCGGAGGAGTTGGAGCTGCTGTCAAGAGCCGTGACCGTGGACTCGTCGGCGGAGTTCACCGGCGCAGTGTCGGGGGAGAACTCGTCTCCGCCGCCGAAGCACTCGTCGTCGTTGGAGAAATTGAGGAGGTCGTCCACTGCGAAATGGTCCGAGGCCTTCCCCTGCTTCTCCATAGCGAACTGGGGATTGCCGGAGCGGCAGTGGCTGCCGTGGAGGTGCTCCGGCGCGTCCATTGGTGGCGCAGGGCCAGAATGTGGTGGTGGCCTAGCAGGCAGAGGGAGGAGGGTAAGAGATAAAGATAGAGAAAGAGAAAGTAGTACACAGAGGAAAGAGGCTTTAGGGTTTTTTATTTTCGTTTCGCATTTTGAAGCTGGCAGGCAGATAAAATGGAGACGTTGAAGAGTAGAAAAGCAATTTTCCCGTAAATCTAGACAATTCATAAACTCCCCACAGTATTCTCATTTGAATTCCTCAATCAAGAAGATCAATACAGTGCGATAATTTACTATTTTGGGGTTTTTACAAATAATCCTTCAACGTCAGTACTAAAACTGTCGTAGGCCTGGCCTAGGCTGCGTATAAATGTAATAATATACTATTTGGGGTATCAGGAGTAACATCTTCCTCGGGAAGTGTGTCCATTTTATTCGTCTCCCACTGCCTGATTTCACAAATAATATTTTATCCCGGTTTTTTTCAAAAGTTTCACTCCCCGTCTCTGCCCCTTCGCCCTACGATTTATCTCCCGTCGCCAGCTGGCAAGCTGACGGCTTTCCGGTAAGTCTGTTTTCGTTTTTTTTTACTTTGCCGCCCCGGAATGCCACATCATCAGCCTCCGCCGTGCGCCACGTCGGCCAGAGCAACGCCTGAACCGCCGGCAGGAGCGGGTCCGCGCGTCGTCTGAGTCACCGGGCGCGCCCCGGTTCGATAGCGGCGGACGGACGGCGCCCAGTGGGGTCCCGCGAAGGACAACATGAGCAGCCGCCACATCGGTTAACGGAAAATGTCGACGGCGTCCGACTTCCTTTCGCTACTAATATCGGCGTAATTAGCGTTTTAATAAAACTGGAGAATATTTACGCTGCGAGGCGTGATGACCGCGCGGGGCGGGGGGAGACAAGACACGTGGGGGACCTCTCATTGACATCTCTGCACGTGTCATCGGTGACGGACGTGACGCTTTCCACTCGTGGTTGACCGAGGACTGAGCCCCGTTATTAGCGGACTGGGCCGGCCGAGCGGATCGTGGACCGGTTCGGGGGTGGGGGGTTGTGATGTGCATTCATGACACGACTCGGGGACGGTTGCCGAGTCAAACCGAGGTGTGAGTCCGCTTTGAATCGCCGTCTCGCTTGTGTGAGAGCTGTCCTGACTCGGCAGCGACCCCCCAAACGGGGCGCACCTACGATCTGGGCCGACTTGCCGCGAAAAAGGCCTAAAGCCCAGATCGTTGGGCCCAAATAAAAAGAGGAAAATGATAGGTATAAACGCAAATGACAAAATTATGGTGTTAAAATAAATATTATAAACTTTAATCGGAGTGAAGGTAGCTGGATGGGTATCAGACTGTTGGCTTCTTCGGGTTTCTCGCGTTACTGCTATCCAGGATTCAAAGCTTCGGCTCGCAGTACCTGCGACCGCAAGAGGGGGGGAAGGGAGGAGGAAGAGTGGAGATGTTTAGCTCATGGCGGAAGTCATCCCGTCAATTGAATGCTTCTGATCCTGTAAGTTGATTTCCTGCTTGAGTGTGTCCTCCTCTTTCTCCTATCATGTGATGCGAGAAAGAGATAATTAGTTTACGATTTGGTTGTCGGAGGCAGCGAGGGGAAGGGCCGTGGCTGGCTATGAGCTTGAGGCCAGAAAACTTCGTTCCTGGGCTGGTGGTTGGGTTCCTTCTGGGGTTGTTCTTGGACTTGTCGCCACTCGGCCGTGGAGGGAAGTCCCCTTCCGCTCGGGGTAAGCAGCGGACGGCGGCAATTGCAGATAGCAATGGTGAGGAGCTCAAGATGGTACTCTCTCTCTCTCTCTCTCTCTCTCTCTCTCTCTCTCTCTCTCTCTCTCTCCCTCCCTCTCTCAAGTTTGGCCGCATAGTTTTGCAGATAACGATCAACGTTGTAACTGATGGGAGACGGACTAGCAGCATTAACAGTCTTGTAATGATAGCTCGATAGCTTGAAATTTCAATATACTGCTTCCATAGATTGCCCATAGATTCCATGGTTTGAACATTTTAATAAGATGTGCATCCTCAAAGAGATATGCCATTAACTTGTAGATTAGGGGTAAAAACCGCGAGGATAAATTCTTTTGGTATATCTCCAGAATTTTAACGATTCGGCCATGTTTCTGATTTTTCTTCGTGGATTAACTTCAGTAATATTTTTTTTAAAATGTTATAATTATCATGTATAAAAAAACTCATGGGGTTTAACTGGCTCCTGGTGATTGATAGTTGAGGAGTTTGAAACTTCGATTTGCAAGGATGCTTTCGGTTATACAAATAAACTATGCTATTTCATAATTTTAGGTGGACGTGGAAGATTTTATTGGGTATGACCGAAAATTGACGTTTGAGGGTATGTTCTAGTGTATGGTTTGGTAGTTGGAAATTCCCCAAGTTATTTACCCTTGTGATGGTTGACCATGTTTATTGTGTTCCTGAATTTTAAATTTCAGGTTTTAGTTGTTAGACAAGATCTGAAGATGGGAGCTGGAAAAATCGCATCTCAGTGTGCTCGTAAGATGCATGAAACCATGAACTCTCTCAGATTCATGCCATAAGATTTTTTTCTAAATTTGGATTTTCCTTCGAATCTTTTGAAGGGACCATCAACTGTGGAAATGGATTTTTCTGCTACCTCTTAGAGGCCATGGCATTTTTTTTTAGGATATATTATATATTTGTTTCCAGAATAGACTGCTCAGATGCATTTTCAGAGCCCGCTATTATATGCGCAAAAAAACTTTGCTTTGATTCGTCCTTTCTTTCAATGTCAGATGCAGCCACTGGCACATACGCTGAACTAATCCACAGGTGATTTCGACTTGTTCTTTAATTATATATGCCTTGTTTTTTGACGTGGAGGATGTTTTTATTCTCTCAGACCACAGTTTTACATCTTATTTATTAGTTTGGTACTGCAGAGGACTCGTATTTATTTATTTATTTTCACAATTTTGGGCCTTTGGATTGGGGATGCTCTTATTTGTTTGAAGTGGAAGGAAACTTCTGGGTGTTTTCCCCTATCCTTGTTCTACTCGTATGCTTTCTGATAGGAACATGTTTACCCCATGGTTCAAGTAGTGTTGATGAATTGGGAGTCTGCGGAAGTCATTATTGCTTTTGGGCGCATGAACCAGAGGGCAAGGATCACAGTTCCATGGTTGTCATCAATTTTGGCTCTGCGAGATCCGGGTGATTAGTCCAATTTTGGGTGGTCAGGGTTTTCTTCTTCTTCTTTTCCAGGTTCTCTCCCTTCATGTAAGCTTTCATTTAGTTGATAGACTTATCAACTTGCTATTTTTTCTTAAGAATTCCTGTTTTATCCGATTAAACTTTCCATCAAGGACCCCATAAACTCTCTATTTTCCTAAGAACTACTCTTTAAGTCGATATGCCTGTCCTTTAAAACCCATCAACTTGCTATTTTCTGAAGAATTTCCCTTCTATTTCATTAGCATCTCCTTCAGTGCCCACCAACCATCAGTCTTCCTCAGAATTTCCCCTCTAGTTGATTAACCTTTCCCCAAGAAAATGACCAACTTCTCATTTTCTTTAATTTTTCTCCCTGACCCACCTTGTCTGGTCCCTTATTGTTCTCCGCTTCATTCTTCGTACTGAATTTTAGATCTGGTTCTTTTTCCCTGATTCTCATAAAGATGGGCTATGCGCGCTGAATGTGAAGTCTTCTTATACCTTTTAGCCACCGGTCTCTTTTACGGAGATGGGAGCAGTGTGGGCAGCCCAAGATAGTCCTCTGTTGCAAGAATCAGCAAGAAATGTGAGCACGAATTATCATAATGGGTCCTACTTTCTAATATCTCAAAGATGATGTTTTGGTCTAGATTGCTAGTTATTTTTGAGAATCCTTTCAGGAATAAGCTGAAGGAGACGGCAGATCGAGCTGGTCTTCCTACTTTTGTTGTTGCTGATGCTGGGCGTACTCAGGTTCTCCTTGCTCATTTCTCGCTTCTTTCCCCTCTCATCTCCGCAGAGGATATCTAGTTAAACTGAACCAAGCTAGTTGAGTCGAGCTGACTGTCCTTGACTTCATGGCATTACAATGGTTAATAAAGTTGATGCAGATAGTTTTGACTCGGTCTCAATGTTCTGCTGATGGCCTCACAGGTTGCAGCGGGTTCTAAGACTGTTCTTGCTATTGGGCCAGGTATCCTCTCTCTCTCTCTCTCTCTCTCTCTCTCTCTCTCTCTCTCTCTCTCTCGCTGTGGTCACATGGTTGGATTCTATTTGGCTTAGAAGGTTCTCCTGATGGGTGTTTCTGTGCAGGCAGAAAGGCACTGGTTGATTCAATCACAGGAAGGCTGCGCCTTATGTAGACGCGCTCCATGCCTTCATTAGCACTGCACATTTTGTAAAAACCCTTCTGGTTTGGTTCTCTCTCTCTCTCTCTCTCTCTCTCTCTCTCTCTCTCTCTCTCTCTCTCTCTCTCTCTCTCTCACTCTCTCCCTACATTTCCTCTCTCCTAGAGAGGTGCAGACCGGGGACCAACTTTATTTTTGCAGGGTCTGGCCTGGCGCTTGTTTTTCTATGGGCTATGTTTTTATTTTATATAAAATCAATTGAAAGCTTCAGTTAATTTTATTATCAGAAATTCGCGGGCTTAATGGGATTCTTTAGGATTGCGAGAGTAAATTTATGTGATTGAGGGCTTTATTGTAAATAAATTATTAGTGTGGGCTTTAGGGTGGGTATAAATACTCTAGTCCGGGTGGTTTTGCTTTCGGCGTGAGTTCGAAAAACGCGAAACCCCTTTCTTCCTAGCGTCGAGTCGGAGATCCCGCAGCTGCTGCTGCTGCTGCTGCTCATGGCGTCTCGACTTCGGTCAGTCTCGAAGCCCGCTTTCTCTCTGCTCCAGTCAACCATGAGGAAGCGCAGCAGTATACCGCTTCCTAATCTTCATCCTCGCGGTTCTCCATCCTTTTCTAGGCTAGCCCCTCTCTCTCTGTCACGCACACGTACGCGTTGCCTCTCATAGCTGCCTCTTGTCTCGCATCTGATATCGTTTATCCATTTCTCTTTTCTTCTGTCAAAATAGTGTACCGCGCGAGATTTGTTCTCTGCAATCTCTCCTGCCGTTCCACAGTGCGGTGTCCGCTGCTCTTCTGACATCGCGGCTAGGAACCGACTCCGCGGGAGGCTCGAGATCGATGTCCAAGGGTACGCTCTGCAGTTCAAATCCAGGAGTCTGATGCTTGCTTATCGTTTGTTTGCTTGATGTAAGCCACTGATTCTCTTTCTTGCCTTTCTGGATATTAACCATAAGCTTTGTTTTTTTTCTGGCTTTCTCGGCCTGTTCGTGGAACATTTCTTCGAGGTTTAAGACGTGGACATCGTCATTTTTGTCCTGTGTAGATTCTATGTAATATTCAATCGTTAATTGATGCGATGGTTCTGGAGATAGATTTTTGCTGACAAAGCTCAGAAAGTAGTTTACTGATGCCAACTAGTTCCGATATAATCTTGTTTGTCTTCTGTTGCAAACGTCCTCATATTGTCCTGGTTTTTCCCCGAGACTTCCTCTAGAAGTAACATTTTTTGCTGGTAAACTTTCCACCGACTGCGTCGATGGACGATTCGCATGTTTTCATGTTTCAGTTACTTAGAAAATTTTTGTTTTAATCAGTAGCTACTGTCTCTCGAGAAGATGATTTTTATTGGTGAGAGAGACATTTTATTCTTTTTACAATGACTACTGTGCTAGGTCATCCACTTTAGGGGGGGCTAATTGCCTTTCCGTTTATTTTAATGTGACTGTCACAAAGCCCTTTTTCCATAGTTTCCCAGTAGTTAAAAAAGTTTTCTTTTGTTAAAATGGGGGGGGGTAACCTGGGGGATGGAACCCATTCATAATGGAATGGAACGTTTATCCTGATCTTTTTATCCTTCATATTAGTACCCACGTGAGAAAGTATAAAGGATCTATAGTTGATGACTTGCAACAATCGTGCAGTATAAAATATCCAACGCTCGTGTCCATATCTGGTGCATGGCGCTCCATGTTTTCATTTTTAAAATGGTGTGAGAAGTCTCTTCAGTTAATTTTGGAATATAAAAGCTCTGTGAAGTTGAGAAAAAGTTCGGTGCTTTCCTTTTGGCAACGGCACATGTAATAAAGCTTGTCAATGTGCAAACTTCTTATGATTTTTTGGTACTAATCACACAGTTAAAGCAATTTTTTGCTGCCGCGTGTTTTGAATCTTTGGTGATTTTTTTCCGTGACTGCCATGTGTGTATAGATTGTATCTGATCCGCCCATACACAACCTTATTGTCGTACATAACTGCGAATAAATTCTTAACAGAAAGAAAGTTTTCATCCAAACTATTAAATGCCTTATCTGGCTGACTCCAGATGAACGGTCTCTCATTTAGGGGATACAAAGAGTATTATTTTTCAGCTGTACACAAAAGGCAAACTATGATCTGAAATTTTTATTAAACCTGAGAGGAAAGATAACAGTCAAAAAGTTTGGAGCTCTCCAAGGTGAGTCCTTATCTTCTCTGGTCAAATCTGGCTTTCCTGAATATTGACCCATTGGAACGTGCTCTGAATATCCACAAAGGTTGCTTGGGGTCATGAAATCACCATAAAGGTTGGAGAAAGAAGGATACAGAAGACAAAGAACGTTGGATTCTACAATAATCAGAAAGGAAGCAGAACATGTCAGCTGTACCTGTAGAAACTGTTATAGAGGAAGAACAAACCAAAGGGAAAACATGTTGGGAGTAAAGAAGCCACATTAAGAAGTTTGTCTTCAAGGAACACAGTCGTCCTGTTTTGTGAGCACACCCATCCAAGGTCTAGCTATCAAGAAACGGAGACGGCGATGAAAGGAATATGGTTTCTGGGTTATCTAATCTTTGGTTGTCTATGCATTTATCAATGCCTTCTGCATTGCCCTAAATCAGGAGAAACGCATCTTTTCATACCCTTTTCGCCGAAGACTCATATGGGCCATCCCGTTGACAGCACCACCTGAATTCCGTTTTATTTTGCATAAAAATGGCATCTTATCTATTTTCCCTACTGTCCTATTCATCAGTCAGTCCCCCCGGCAGTTTGTTGATATGAGCTTGAAGATTTTCTTCTTCTTTTTTTTTTCTTTTTTTTTTTTTGAGTTTCTCCTAAGGATGGCATGAACTGATATCCTCTCTTCTCTCTTCTCAGAGTCCGGCCTTTCCACCCCGCGATGATCGGCGCTGGCAGACCGCCGGGTGGATTTGTTTATCTTCGAAGAATTTCTTCCCATCGGCTCTTCAGGTTCCTCCTGATGTGATATGTTTTCCCCCGTGTAGGGCTGGTCCTCCTGAGACGCGCGCTCCCTTGATCGTTCTCCTTCTCTGGGACAAATAACTTCCCCTTTTATTTTTATTTTTTTTGAACGATCCTCTCCTCACTTCGTTCGTAAATTTCGGTAATCTCTTCACGTGCGCCCCCGCCGTGAGCCGGCGCCAGTTCCGAAGCTTCGTCGTCATCCTGGGTCACGGGTTGGGAGGAGTCGCACAAGTGTGAGGAGAAGCCTTCGCCTTCGCAGTTTTTAAGCCCCGCGGGGCGGGAGGGGAGGAGGAAGGAGCGTCGGAGGTGCCGATGGCGGCGGTGGCGGAGGAGATGGTGGCAGTGGGGAAGGTGGCACCGGAGCTGGCGCGGTGGCGGAGCCGCTGTGCCGCCGTGGTGGCTCTGCGGGTGGCCTGCCTATCAGCCTCCGTGCTCTCGCTGGCGCTGATGGTGTCCTCGCAGCAGTCGGGCACACTCTCCGTGTACGGCTTCCATCTCCCCGTCCACGCCAAGTGGTCCTTCTCCGAGTCCTTCGAGTAAGCCAGCCCCAGCCCCTTCCATCCTTCCATCGATGGCTTCTCACTCACTACCTCTGATAAGGGGGGGCAGATACCTGGTGGCGGTGGTGGTGGTGGCGGCGGCACACTCGGTGGTTCAGGTGGTGGCGGTGGCGGCGAGGGGCCGGCCGTCGCGGCGGGGTGCGTGGCTAGTCTTCGCGGGGGACCAGGCGCTGGCGTATGCCGTGATGAGCGCCGGCTCGGCGGCGTCGGGGGTGACGAACCTGAACCGCACGGGCATCCGGCACGCGGCGCTGCCGGATTTCTGCCGGCCCCTGCGCCGTTTCTGCGTCACGGTGGCCGCCTCCATCGCCTTCTCCTTCCTCGCCTGGCTGCTCCTCGCCGCCTCCGCCGTCCTCGACGTCCTCTCAATCTGCAACGACGACGCCTGAGACGACGACGACGATGAACCTCTCTCTCGTATGCACACGCTCCTGCGAACTTGCTCTGTTAAACTCTACCCACGTCTTTTCTCTTCAGAGAGCTCCCGGGTTTTTTACCATGTGGATTGAGCCTCGAAATCGGGCCTTTGAGGGAAATTAGGTCCGATCCGAGAAAAAGGCTAGGCCCAGTTCGCCGTGTTGGACCGAGTCCAGTGAGGCCGGGCCCAAACAGTTTATGTCGATGGTCTCGGTGCCATAGTGGGCCATCTGGGATAAGTACGAGCCCGACTTTCACAACCATCGGTCAATAGTGTTTTGATCCATTGACGCTCCTACCGAGGAGGTCTGAGCGGCAAATTTGATCCCTCTGCACTATCGCCATTGTGTTGAGCTAGAAACCGGCAAGTTCAGGCTAAAATGCTTAAAGTCAACGATCTTACCACTGTGTGAAATCAAGCGCAATAAGTCAACACCATAGTTGCATTGATCAAACGCAGAGAAGGGCTTATCTTGGTCTTATTTCTACACATTTTTTTTCCAATTATGGGGTAAATTTTCAGGGACAATTTTTTTTGGAAGGCCAAGTATTAATTACGCATTCATTACTTTAATACCCTGTAAATCGAATTTTATAATTTTTACTGGGCATCACTTTCTTGCTACTAAATCAATACACTTGTTGCAAAAATTATAGTTTTTTTTTTTTGGCGTCATTGGTATCAAAAATAGGTGGTTTGGTGTCATTGTTACAAAAATGTTGTGCACGGACCATGTCACTGTCATGTTATGAAAATATCTCCCCAGTATTTATAATCGAATTTAATGATAAATATTTTTATAAAACGAAATTAATGATTAGTTATTTTCATAATAAACACATGTGTCTGTTTAACGAAGTATAATAAATAAATAATTACGGTATTTATATATATATTATTTTATACTAATGTGTATTATCTGGAAATAATTTATTATTTTATCAAATTCCATGCTTTATAAAAACACAAAAAACTGATATAATCATGGCCTAAAAAAATGGAATATATATTTTTAAATACATACTATAGTCCGAAGTATGAAAATGGAGCAGATCTGTAGAGGGATACTTTTTGATATGTTACTGGATTGAATATACATATATATATATATTTTAAAATGTATTTTTATTTATTATCGACACCGTGGTTCTGACCAGTGCCCAGCTCAGAAGGCATCGTTATGTAGGGATATATCGAGATATTGTAAAGTAAATGGTACTTTTAACATATTACATGGTTAAATGATGGTGCATAATTAAATGACGTTCCCACCCTCGTCCGGCATTTTTTTCCTCCGTCTTCATTTCTACGGGTCCACTCTCTCTCTTCAGGCCTACTCCGGGGTCAAGCTCCGGGATCCTCCGATCGCTAGATTCCGCCGCTATGGCAGCGAACGAGGAGCCAAAAGGAGCGGGAGCGCTGAGGAATGCCTTCGGAAATATTCTCTGTTTCTTCATCCTTCTCCTCATCGGAGTCATTGCCTTCTCGATCCGTCTCTTCTCCGTGAGTCTCCATCCTTTTTTTGATCGTTTATTCCGATATATCTTATATGCGGAACGCTAAATATCCTTCATTTGGATCTTTAATTCGCACGTTCGCATTGTCCAGAGTTGGTTGATTTCGCCTGTATTTCTTATTTCGTGTATTTTATTTTTAGGTTATCAAGTACGAGAGCGTGATTCATGAATTTGATCCCTACTTCAACTACAGGGTCACCCAGGTTCGATCGCTATAATTTTCCTGACCCTCGTTTCCTTTTGTTGCGAACCGACGCTTTAAGTTTTTCACAAGTATCTGTTTCATAATTCCCCCCCATATGTATTGATTATGTCTGTTTACTTTCACGTGATCTGCTGTTTTTATTGAGATCTTTGAAACTTGAAAGATGACGACTAAGTTTTTTCAATTAAGGGTAACATGGAAAATTGAATGTGTGCAGAAAATTTTAACAGTTAGCGATGTACCTCCCATCTTAAAGGGGTTCGTAGAGAATAGTCATCAATTTTTTTAAGATTTATTTTGGAGTGGGCCAGTGAATTCATCTAAGAAACCAGCCAAGCCTAACAATGCAGGACCCAGGAAAATTTGATCGACTCAGTTTTGCACCAGCCGGTAACTTCTACAATTTTCAAATAGTAAAGATGCATATATTTCAGTAGACGAACAAATTTTCTTTCTCAAGGTGCTGCAGACAAAAGTTAAGTTGCCAACATTGTTCTCCTGCACTTGTAATCATTCTCAGGTAGCCAGGAGTTAAATAAATCATTGAATTAAATCATGCATTATTTTTTTCAGTCCACGCAATGATCAGAACCCAGTATTATGATACTTTAGACACATAATTGAAGATAGAAATGTGAAAACTTTTGTCGACGGATGCTGTAGTCTATCAAGCCAGTCCCTTCTGACGTTCCTACATGTTTTCTACCAACTTTCAAGATCCCTATGGTGTGGAAGAAAAGGACCGAAGGCCTTTTTGGGTGTGGAAACTGTCGGGGAGATGAGGCAGAGTTTGCAGTTGCACAGGGGAGGGGGAACGTGATTCTCTATCATTAGCCAGATGGATGGAGAATGTGTAATGAAATGGCTTCAAAGGTTGGGTTACAGGGAGGACACTCCACGGGTGAATTTTTTTGAATGCAAAATAGCCAAGAAACAGAAACCTATGGAGAAAAAAATACATGCACTTACCATTCACAGATAGGGTTAGGAAGAAATGATGTTTTAGTTGAGAAAAAGATTTGGAAAATCTTATTCCGAGAAGACTAGTGTCGCACAGGTTTCTTTGATTCTATTTTTACCAATTTTCTGTCCGATCAGTTGAATTTTGGAGTGGGTCGACCCAAATGCATAATATTACTCAGCTATGATGTGGGGTCCCAAGGTGAGTCTGAGAGGATACATACAAGAATCATGATTCTTACGGAACCCTGGTCTCCTAAAGTTACAAATATGTAAAAAAGGAAGAAACGATATTCAAATGGCAAATGCTATTTTTGTGTAATCTTCCCAGAAGATGTGGGTCATCACTCCATGCTAGCAAAAAAGGAAAAAGGGTCTTGGTTTTAAAGACGTACCAAAGTTCTGGATTTCGAAGCTAAAATTTATTTAAATTCAAGCATTTCACGCAGCCCTGTGGAATTTTTACGAGGGAATTTCTTTCTGCACGGTATTCTGTTAAAGGAAAACCTTAAACATTGCATATGATACAGTTTGGGAGTTAGAAGGACCAGTAACTCTCACATAGATATTTTCTCCTTCGTTTTAGTGTTGTAGGTGGGAACAGTGGCAGATTTTTATATGTTTGTTGTTCGTTTTCTTATGATAGTGCTTTTTTTTCCATGTCTCAGATACGTAACTTTTTTCTAGTGTTTCTAATGTTGGTTGTATCGCTTTATGAGGAAAATCGTTACTTGGAAACTCGTTTCCCTTCTGGCTATATGCTTTGTTTGATTTCAGTGGAATATAATTCCTACTCAAGTAGAACATGGCTACCTTTCAACAGAATATTGAATTTTTTTTAATGAAACAGAAGGCAATAAATTTCTTGTGAAATATTCTGGCCGTCATATTTACTTAGAATCTTTTCTTTTTATATTTTTTGACTAATTAGTTGATATGTTTCAGTTCCTAACAAAGAATGGAATTTACGATTTCTGGAACTGGTTTGATGACCGAACTTGGTGAGAGAACAATATATATAGATGCTTAGTTAATTCATATGCTCTTTATAATCTGATGCCACAATAGTTACTGTGTTTCTGAGGGTGATACTCTGTTAATTTGTCATAAGGTATCCTTTAGGTCGTGTGATTGGGGGAACTGTATACCCTGGGTTGACACTAACAGCTGGCTCCATGTGGTGGTAGGGTTCTCTTATATTTTAACAATATATCTCGTTTACTTTTTGATTAAAATTCAATAAACATTTTGTGAATAAATATTTGACCTACTTTCATTTCTGTTGCAGGATATTGAATTCTTTTAATATCCCTCTGTCAGTGGAAACGGTCTGTGTGTTTACTGCTCCAGTTTTCTCTGCTAATGCGGCTTGGGCCACATACCTTTTGACAAAGGTTTTCCTCTTGTAAATATTTTTCTCCTTGTATTATATTTTATTATGAGAACTCTTATTACGGTATGAAATGTTTTTGCTGTACGCAGTAACGCCAGTGTCCTTTTTGCAGGAAGTCAAGGGCACAGGAGCTGGGTTAACTGCGGCACTTCTTCTGGCTATGGTAGCTTATCCCCATGCTTGAGAATTTGAAGTTATCAATCTCTTATTCCTTGTTGAATTAACAACCGTTTATTTTATTAGGAAACTTGTGGACGTAAAATACTTTAATGAGAATCTATGGATTTCAGAAGCCATTCACGGAGAGATTGTGGCGTTTTATCAAATGTTTACGTTTCAACTTTTCTCTTCCAGCCCATTTCTGCATTTGAAACCTATCTTTCAATCCCCTTTTTTAGTCCCACTATTATTTGAATTGACTTGAGCATGCTTTCCAAGAAATCCCTGGGAAAAAAATCAAAGATATCTCGGTGAGATTGTTACCGTGATTTACACCATACCTCTGACATCCTCAGTCAAGTGGAGGAGATGCCTATATTAGCATTATTTCAGGACCTTGATTGCCGGCACTCACTACTTGGACCAAGTTGACATTCCAATTCGAGGGTGTACATTCATCACTGTGATCTCATGTAGCTCGGGATTCTAATTTTCAGCATCTGTACTTTTTTATTTTGCTAGCAGTGGGTCAGCACGCCTACTATTTCTTTTCTTACTTGCTGTGAATTTTTTTTGTGGGCATTTTTTCATTTATGGTTTGAGGTTTTGAGATTTGATTATTTTTTTTAATGCTTCTAATTGAATTACAGGCAATGAGCCTTACTTTCATGGCTTGTTACTTAGAGAATTAAGATGAACCTTAACATGCCAGTCTGGGCTGGTTGTCAGGCTTTCTCTGTCGAACTGCTTGTTAAATTAGTCAGTATTGATGAGAATAACATCTCATATCGTATGTCTATATGAAGCTGTTATTGTTATTTACTCTACTACTGATGTTAGCATTTCTATGTGCCATGATTCATATCATACTTATGATTTATTTTCTCTGGAGTTTAAATTCATTATTTTCATGTAGGTTCCCTCCTATATATCACGGTCAGTCGCTGGCAGCTATGATAATGAAGCCGTGGCAATATTTGCTTTGATATTCACATTTTATCTTTACATAAAGGTAAATATGAACTCAAGGTTTTGATGCATAAATTACAAATGTATTAAAGTTACGTCAACCATTTAGATATCCTTCTGTTTTAGATTTTTATTTTCGTATGTATAAGTCCATTGTTTTTCTCATGGTAATCATTTACCATTGTTTTTCAGACATTGAACACTGGATCTCTCTTCTATGCTACGTTGAATGCTCTATCATACTTTTACATGGTAAGGATGGGCTGCTGAGATTTAATCACGTTTCCTGTTTTTCACAATGATCTTATTGCTATTTTGAATTTTATTTTCAGGTATGTTCGTGGGGAGGCTATACCTTCATCATTAACTTGATTCCTATGCACGCTCTTCTTTGCATTGTGACAGGCCGTTACTCTTCTCGACTGTACATTGCTTATGCTCCTCTTGTAAGTACTGTACAGGTTACTTTAGAAATGAGTTTGCATTCATGTTTTTTTGTTTGCCCACCTTTTGATTTTATACATCTTAAATTATGTGATGGAGGGACATATATATTTGTGCTTACTGCCTAGAAATTCTTAAATTATCTGATAGAGGGACATTTCCATAAGGTCTTCTTGATTCTATTTTCTGTGGCTGCAGGTTGTCCTTGGTACGCTGCTAGCAGCCTTGGTTCCTGTTGTTGGTTTTAATGCGGTGATGACATCAGAACACTTTGCGTCTTTTTTGGTTAGCTCCTTATCTTTATGGCCGAACACAGCCCACATTCAATAAAATTTCATTTGAAGTTAACAAGTTTTTGCGAAACTTTAGTGCCATTGTAACCTTTCTTAGAAAAGTAGTCTGTAGCATCTTATTGTTAGCGAAAAAATAATGCATCCATGACGACCAATGTATACCTGAGTTATACTAACCACCACAAACTAGTACGGTCATTATCCTTTGGTTGTAACCCAATCATGATGATCATTTTCTCATCCCGATTCTATTTGTGCAAGGCTATCGCATTTTTTAAGATCCTCTTAAAACATGCTATTTTGATCTCTCCCTTTATGTTGCATGGCTGATTCCTCATCATTTGAATGGAGTTTCTCTCTCGCATCCATAGTTTTCTCCTCTTGGAGAAAACCAGCTAAGAACATTTTCCCAGAACTCTAAATTGTGGCTCAAGCCGTGCACACCTCAGGTGGATCACACTTTGACAATAACTACTGCCTCTCTAGCTACGAACTTCTTAATCTCTGAGGTTTTCTTAGCAGATGCCAAGAGTTTCTGGTATGACAGGTCGCGGTCATTGAGTACCTATGTGAAAAACTGCAACTTTGGGATAGTAACATGGAGGAATTTGATGGCGTAGAGGTTGAATCCATTCTTTGATTTGACCCATGTAAATTTAGGGTAATTATCATTAAGAAAAAAATGGCTTTACAGATATTTTTTTTGGTGATAAGTTTGCTGTATTTTTATGGTATGTCTTCAATTTAGGTGCTCCCTCATCTTGGGTCTATCAGTTTTTCATGCTATTTTTTTTCTTCTTTTAAATTATGCTGATGATATATCCACGTGTAAAACTTTTACTGTATGTTTTTTCTTTGGTTTTTGCACTTTATCTCATTTTCGTCTCACATTTCTTCACATCCAGGTGTTCATTATTATCAATGTGGTGGCTCTTGTGTACTATATCAGAGGAATTCTTTCACCGAAGATGTTTAAAGTGGCTACAACACTTGTCGTGACCCTTGGCATGTAAGCATTTGTCCTGTTACATCGTTCATCTTCAACCTTTAACACATACAGGTCAAAAAAGAACGCATGCGTTAGATAATTTGTTATAATCTCTGTCATATAATTGTTTCTATGGCACTAGCTAATTTTTCTGGGTAACATTGAAAGTTAAAGAAACATAGTTTCAATGACGCCCAAACTTCGTGATAGTTATGAGGACATTTGGATATTTTTTCTAATCAGTGTATGCTGAATTTTTTTCTTTTCAGTACTGTTTGTGTTGCAGTCGTTGCTGTGCTTGTAGCAATGGTGGCTTCCAGCCCAACAAAAGGATGGAGTGGCCGTAGCTTGAGTCTTCTTGACCCGTAAATACTTTCCTTTGCATGTATAACTATGTTCCATTTCAATTCGTTCTTTGAACATCATACATATATAAGCATATATTGTATACATAAAATATTGCATTTATTGGTTTGCCTGTAATATTAAAAATTAGAAGAGAAAACAAATCTTAATTTGATGCCTTCCATCTTTTTATACTTGGTGAATATGTTTTCGCACAGATACACGCATACATACATATTTACAGACCATACAATGATAGAAAATTATTAGTTGACAAATGAATGTTGGGAGGGAGATGTTAGTGTGACGCCTTAGTCTAGATCTGATGGCTCTTTGAGGGATTTAGCTAGACATGGAATGATTTGTCAGGAGCTGTGTTGGAGAGCCTTTCTTTGAAACATGTAAACTTGCTGTTTTTTCTTCTTAGAAGAGGGGGATAATCGTTGGTTTTGTTAACCATCTTTATGTTCACCCACATGGAGAATTTCTGAGGTATTCTCATTAGTTAACTTCCTTCACATTTATGCAATTGATTTTTGGTTTGCTCGACAAGTTTTGAGGTCAACAACGGGTAGATTTCGAGTTTAGGTGTTTTTTCTCTGCATACAAACATGGTACGTTTCTAAAAGCATTTCTTAGTGGAAACAATGCTACCTTAGTTGAACGAATGACAAACACGTCGAAGAGCAAGTTTAGATGCATAGTAGAAGCAATATCTCCCATTGGGTCATGAAAAGTGTGAAAAGATGCAAGTTATGAGATCCTTTCGCTGAAGCCAAGTACCCCATTTTCTATACCAGAAAAAGAAAATTTCATCGTCGGTTCAGGATTTAATTAAGTATGATGGATTGGATCATACCAATATGAATAATTTTATTCCGAAGCATTTTGCATAGCTATTTATCTCAGGTCTAAATACCCACATTTCTTTTTTTGTATATATGGGCATTTTTTTAAAGTGAGGTGGGCCTGTTGGGTATGATAAATGGGAGAGAATTGACATCCGCAAATTAGCTGGTATTTTTTCTGTTTTTTACAATAATAATTTTGGTGGCTTCTTTCAACTATTTTATATGAAGTCGTTTATTTAGACAGTGGGATGCAAATGTGGTCAAATCAGACGACTTGGTAACGGCCTCCTGTGTTGTTGGTTAACGAAAACACAATGATTTTCCTAACTGTGATGATATTAATTTATTAGAGTGATCAATAGCTGTCCTTTTATTTTAGCTTTAAATCTTATTCTGAGGTTCTGTTTCTTTGATTATGGCAGTACTTATGCAAGCAAGTATATCCCTATCATTGCTAGTGTTAGTGAGCATCAGCCACCAACATGGCCATCGTACTTCACGGATATAAATGTCTTGGCATTTTTGGTTCCGGCGGGCATCATTGTAAGTGTAAATTAAGTTACATTTTTTTTCCTCCTGGTAATTTGAGAAGAATGTGAATATTATACTGATTTAAAAATTAGTTAGGAGGGGCATTATTCATGTACTTTGATTAATATAAAGAGTTTAGTAAAGGTTACTATCAGCAGTTTTGGCTGAACGATTCCAGGCAGGAGAATCTATCCTTTTTGTTTGTCTTTGAGATCTTCAAGAGAGAATTCTGCAGGGTTTTCAAGAGAGAAAAAAGAAGACGTGCTGCGGTGATTGCCAGGGTTTCTGCCTTTTTCTAATTTGCTTTATTGCTTTAGGAAAGTAGAGAAGGGTTGTTTTCCTCTTTTCATTTGCTTTATTCATTGTGCTCTTTTTTGGGGATGGACTTCTCTAATGGGTAGCTGTGATCTTTATTCATTGTGCTCTAATGGGGATGGACCACTTTTTTAAAGACTATTTCTCCTGTCTTTACTATGCCCTCATCTTGTTCGGCAGGGATGCTTTCTACCTCTCTCCGATGCAAGCTCGTTTGTGATCTTGTATCTAGTAACATCAGTATACTTCTCTGGAGTGATGGTAAGGAGAAGGCTGATTCCCTTGAACCTTCGTTAGTGAGTTAATTTCTTTTTAACAGCTACAAGTTAATTTCAGGTGCGCCTCATGCTGGTGCTGGCTCCGGCCGCTTGCATCATATCAGGAATTGCACTTTCTGACAGCTTCAACATTCTCACACAATCAATAAAAGTTCATCTGGGCAAATTACTCAGTAGTGCATCTGTTGTATGTCCCTTTTTTTTATTATTGACTTTGTTTCTTAGGTCACTTTTCTTGGTAATCCTCGGCTTCCAGTCGGAATTTAATGTTATTTATTGATATTTAAGGCAGGAGATAGTACGTCTGAGAATTCTGCAAGTCAAACTGAACCAAAGGCGAGCAAGCACACGCCTGGTGAGAAATCTGAAGAAATCACAAAGGAAAAACAGCCGAAAAAGAACAGAAAGAAGGAGAAGGAAAAGGAAAAGGGAACTGTAGAAAAGGTTTCTAACAAGAAACAGTCGGAAAAGAGGGCTCTTATTTTGCCTCTTGAAGTCTCTGTTGTTGCTATCCTCTTGATTGTTCTCCTGGGGGCCTTTTATGTGGTACGTACTCCTTTGCTATCTATTCATGCCGTAGAACAGTGTTATTTGCGTAAACTAGCTATATTTTGGCACACTTTACTTCATATACCATGCATAAAAGATGGCATTTCCGATCTAAGGTTGCCTTTTTTAACTTCTCTGTTTCCTTGGCTCATTGAACAGCCACTTAATCTGGGCAATCTTTCTTGCAGATTCACTGTGTTTGGGCTGCAGCGGAAGCTTATTCGGCCCCTTCCATTGTTCTGACCTCACATTCACATGACGGCTTGCATGTGTTTGATGATTTCCGTGAAGCTTATGCATGGCTACGGCACAACACTGAGGTGGATGATAAGGTGAGGCTCTCCAAAGTCTTTTCATCATTTCTTGCTGTTTCTTTTTTCTGTGAGTGTTAACGTAGTTAACCTTGCTGTGTCACGGAGTTCTGGTTGGCTGTGACCGAAAGGTTTACTCTGCTAAGTGTTTTTTTGTGAGATAGACTTCGTAGTCTGCTGGTTTGAGTCCATCAGGTTTAAGCTTCTCTTTTATATCTTAAAAGGGCTGCGGTGTCATGAACTACATCAAGATTTGACTTTTAGCACGAGAGGCGTGGCCTCTCGGGTTGTCCCTCATTTATGTCGAGTCAACGGATGCAAATTGATTCTACCAGTGGTTCGGCTTCCATGTTGTGTTCATATTCCCTAGGTCTCATTGCCCACCTATGCCTCAATCACATGAGAAGTATGGATTCGGTTCCTCCTGTTCATCATGATGAGCTCACATTCTAGGACTAATTTTGATACAATCAGAGCTTATCCATTTTCATGGCCGCATAGTTGATTTTCGCATCACTTTCTATTTTTATTCATCTTTCTAAAAAGAAAAAATCTGGCGTCAATTCTTTGGGAAATCAAGTTTGTGGAGAATCGTCTCTTCTTTAACGGGGGAATACTGCAGAACTTTCATATGTTTCTACGCATCTGCCATTGATGATTACCTTTTCTAGTACTTGGAAGCTTATCGGAGAGGGGTCTGGTTGCAGGTGGCATCTTGGTGGGATTATGGTTACCAGACCACTGCCATGGCTAACCGCACTGTTATAGTCGATAACAATACCTGGAACAACACCCATATTGCTACTGTTGGGACGGCCATGTCTTCCCCAGAGAAGCAAGCTTGGGAGATCTTTAACTCTCTGGACGTCAAGTACGTTCTTGTTGTCTTCGGAGGTATGCTCCAATCCCCTCCCCTCCGATGATTGATTTGAGCTAAGAGAATTAGGGTTCTTCAAAACGCGTTCATGGAATTCAGGTCTCGTGGGCTACCCGAGCGATGATATTAACAAATTCCTATGGATGGTTCGGATCGGAGGGGGCGTCTTTCCTCATATCAAGGAACCTGATTATCTTGTAAGCATCCTCATATCAGGGACTCTCTCTCTCTTCTCTCTCTCTTTCATCTCATAGATGGGTTATATTTCATATTTCTTACCTTTTATGTATATCTGTTTTCTAGAGAGATGGTCAATACAGGATCGACTCCCAGGCCACACAGACGATGTTGAACTGTCTCATGTACAAGCTCTCCTATTACAGGTTCTTGAGACGGCTTCAGCTGAAAAGACGTTGACTTGTCTGCATCTGTCCGGTCTTACCTTTTATATCATTTCACTGTTTTTCCTTCTTTTTTTTTTCCCTCTCAGGTTTGTGGAAACCGATGGCAAAGGCTTCGACAGAGTCAGGAGGACCGAAATCGGGAGGAAATACTTCAAGTTGACCCACTTTGAGGAGGTTGGGTTCTTCTTCTCGAGCTCTGTTTGACTCAAAAGTCGAACTCTCTGATGAAGAAAAATAGAGAAACATTTCCGATTCGTTTGTTCTTCTTCTCAGCCGCCGTTTTTATGTGCTGAACCTGCCGTTTTCTCAGGTCTTCACGACACATCACTGGATGGTGAGGATCTTCAAGCTGAAGCCGCCGAAGAACAGGATCCGCGGCAAGGTGAAGAAGTCAAAATCGGTAAGTCAAATCAGGAAAAAAAGAAGAAGTCATTTTTTCATGCCATAATGCGGATAGTATGAAGGATTGATCGGTTCCCCCGCTGACATTTGCAGGGTTCGAAGTCAAATGCGGCGAACAAGATAGAAGCAAAGGGTAGGCAGAATCCATGGCATTGACTCTCCCAGTGAGGGGGGGGAGGGGGAACTAGACTGGCTCAATTTTGATTAGTCTGAACCTACAGTTGCTGACCGAGTTGATAGGCCCAGCGCAGACTTCACAATTTCTCGCGTTCAGAGGATTAGGATACTTAAATTGGCTTGCGTTGACATTATACCGTCATTCGTGTCTGAGAACTCGCTCTGAACAGCCTAGTTTAGACCAGTGATTTCTTCAGCAGCCGTCAAAGAGTAGCTTATATTTCGGCCCAGAAAAAAAGGTCCAAAAAAGGACTTCACCCGGGTCAACCTATCATGAAGACACTTTTAGTAAGTATCCATTTTTAAATAAATAAATAAATATTTATCCACTCCTGTCGAAGGAGCAATATGTCAAAATTAAAAAAATCAGCTGGAAAATATTAGAAGGTCAGGAATTGGGCTTGGGCTTTTCCTGGTCGAGTTGCCAAGCCCAATTAGAAAGCCACGTAAGCTGGGCCCAGCCTAGCTTGACACCTCAATTCTGCCCCCAGAAGCTTCGAAAGTCTCGGATTGCATGTGGTCAGCCCATTAACATTTTGGGCTCGATAAATATAGGCCCAATAACTCTTTCTTCTAGATGGCCTAGTTTTGTTTCGCCTGGGGGCCGGTCCGGATGGCCGCCCGACCGGGTAGGCAGAGAGAGTGGGGAGGATGTTCTACACGTGGCGGTACTTAGCGGATGAGTTTGATCCAACGGCCATGATGGAATTTTCTAGATTTCTCTAGCGGTGTCTAGTTAGTTCCAGTTCTAGAGGAATGGCGAACCCTCTTCTTCATGCCGTTAAAAGAGCTTCGGCTGTCCCAGCCATGGCGAATTTCGATTGCTTCTACGAACTTCTTCTGCTTTTCTGTCGACTTTCTGTGTTCTGAATCAGGGAGGAGAATCTGTAGGTTCAGGCGGCCATGAATCCAGACAAGTTCACCCACAAGACGAACGAGGCGCTCGCCGGAGCTCACGAGCTAGCCGTCAACTCCGGCCACGCACAACTCACCCCCATCCATCTCGCGGCTGCTCTCATCGCCGATACCAACGGCATCCTTCGCCAGGCCGTCTCCAACGCCGCCGGTGGCGACGACTCATTTGCCGCATCATTCGAGCGAGTCGTTGGGCAGGCCCTGAAGAAGATCCCTTCGCAGCACCCACCGCCGGATGAGGTCCCGGCGTCCACTTCGCTCATCAAGTGCATTCGGCGCGCGCAGTCCTCGCAGAAATCGTGTGGGGATACGCACCTTGCCATCGATCAGGTGATCCTTGGCCTTCTCGAAGACTCGCAGATTGGAGATTGCCTCAAGGAGGCTGGCGTAAGCTCGGCGAGGGTTAGGTCGGAGGTCGAGAAGCTGAGAGGCAAGGAAGGGAAGAAGGTCGAAAGCGCCTCGGGGGACACGAACTTCCAGGCGCTGAAAACGTACGGCCGCGATTTGGTGGAACAGGCAGGCAAGCTAGACCCTGTCATCGGGAGGGACGAAGAGATCAGGCGCGTGATCAGGATCCTCTCCAGGAGGACGAAGAACAACCCAGTTCTGATAGGAGAGCCCGGGGTTGGGAAGACGGCCGTTGTAGAAGGTCTTGCGCAGCGGATTATGAGAGGGGACGTGCCCAGCAATCTTGATGATGTGAAACTGGTCGCCCTCGACATGGGAGCTCTGGTAGCCGGAGCGAAGTACCGCGGAGAATTCGAGGAAAGGCTGAAGGCGGTGCTCAAGGAGGTGGAGGAAGCCGACGGGAAGGTCATCCTCTTCATCGATGAGATCCACCTCGTCCTTGGCGCAGGTATGGAAAAAACAGTACGTTAAGAAAACGGGGGAGGTTATTGCCAATGTTCCTTAGCGGATCCATAGATGATTCTCCAATCTGTACTTCAGGCCGTACGGAGGGTTCCATGGATGCGGCGAACCTCTTCAAGCCGATGCTTGCTCGCGGGCAGCTCCGATGCATCGGCGCAACGACGCTGGAAGAGTATAGAAAGTATGTGGAGAAGGATGCCGCCTTCGAACGGCGGTTCCAGCAGGTATACGTGGCGGAGCCCAGTGTGGCAGACACCATCAGCATCCTGCGAGGGCTCAAGGAGAAGTATGAAGGGCATCACGGTGTGAGAATTCAGGACAGGGCACTTGTGGTGGCTGCCCAGCTCTCCAGCAGATATATCACTGGTAAGGTCTCTTCCGAGCTAGTGGATTGAGTTACCCTTTGGTGATGCAAGATTCTGGTTTTATACAGAGAATTAGTTGTATAGGTCATCGTTCCCATTTCATCACCTATCAATCGAGTGGAAATTAACCGTTTGAACCGACTTTCGATTTCGATTTTTTTCCATTTAAATAATCTCTTCTCTGATTGCCATTTTCATTGATTTCCCCTGTGATAAAATGACGAAATGGTTAGTGTTCTTCCCGCGAGCATGCAATCTTGGATTATATTAATTTAGAGCTATTCAACTTACGGACGACCTTCCCCTGGTTGTCCAGGGCGGCATCTTCCCGACAAGGCCATTGACTTGGTCGACGAAGCCTGTGCAAATGTACGAGTACAACTCGATAGCCAGCCGGAAGAGATCGACAACCTCGAGAGGAAGAGGATCCAGTTAGAAGTGGAGCTTCATGCGCTCGAGAAAGAAAAGGATAAAGCCAGCAAAGCCCGACTGCTTGAAGTGAGCCTCTTTCCTCAGAATCGCAATATCATAGCTAGTAACCTGGAATCCCGAGGAAGATAAACAGCCGATGTCACCTTCAATTTGCAGGTTAGAAGGGAACTAGACGATCTGAGGGACAAGCTGCAGCCATTAATGATGAAGTACAGGAAGGAGAAGGAGAGGATCGACGAGATCAGAAGGCTCAAGCAACGGCGCGAGGAGATCATGTACAGCCTGCAGGAGGCGGAGAGGAGGATGGACCTCGCCCGAGTCGCTGATCTGAAATACGGTGCCCTCCAAGATCTTGATGTCGCCATAGCCAACCTCGAAGGTACCACAAATGAGAACTTGATGTTGACCGAGACAGTCGGCCCAGATCAAATTTCAGAGGTACGCTCATCTCTTATCTTCTCCGATCGTATTTTCGCCCCGCTTAAAGACTCCCTATTCGCTCTCTCGATTCAGATCGTCATCCAGTCGTTGAAATAATGCAGGTCGTCGCCCGGTGGACTGGCATTCCAGTCACGAGGTTAGGGCAGAACGAGAAGGAGCGTCTGATCGGCCTTGCGGAGAGGTTGCACCAGAGGGTCGTCGGGCAGGATCAGGCGGTCAATGCCGTCGCGGAGGCGGTGCTGAGGTCTCGAGCTGGTCTAGGGCGTCCAGAGCAGCCGACCGGCTCCTTCCTCTTCTTGGGTCCCACGGGCGTGGGGAAGACGGAGCTGGCCAAAGCCCTCGCAGAGCAACTCTTTGACGACGAGAACCTCCTCGTCCGCATAGACATGTCCGAGTACATGGAGCAACACTCTGTTTCTCGCTTGATTGGCGCACCTCCTGGGTAAGTACTCTCTCTCTCTCTTTCTCTCCTTCTTCTCCGTCCTCTTCTCCATGTGGATGTCTGGTTCTGGTTCTTACTGAAAACTACTGGTTGGGTTCAGCTATGTGGGGCACGAAGAAGGGGGGCAGCTGACGGAGGCGGTGAGGAGGAGACCCTACAGCGTCATCCTCTTCGACGAGGTGGAGAAAGCCCACGTATCTGTGTTCAACACCCTGCTCCAAGTCCTCGACGACGGCCGCCTCACCGACGGCCAGGGAAGGACAGTCAACTTCACCAACTCTGTCATCATCATGACCTCCAACCTCGGAGCCGAGCACCTCCTCTCCGGCCTCGCCGGCAAAACCACCATGGAATCCGCCCGTAATCGAGTCCTGCAGGAGGTAAAGAACCACCACCACCCAGCCCCTTGCCGGAATATTCCACCCGCCGGCGGAATCTCTGCCACTCAATCAAGATCCTTCTCTTTTTCCAGGTGAGGAGACACTTCCGACCTGAGCTTCTCAACCGTCTCGACGAGATCGTCGTCTTCGATCCCCTCTCCCACGAGCAGCTGAAGAAGGTCGCAAGACTCCAGATGAAGGACGTCGCCGCCCGCCTCGCCGACCGCGGCGTTGCCCTCGCCGTCTCCGACGCTGCCCTCGACATCGTCCTGCAGGAATCCTACGACCCGGTAAGCTAGAGAGAGAGAGAGAGAGAGAGGGAATGGCAGGTTTTTTTCTTTTTCTTTTTTGGGTTCTGCTCTTGGGTGGTGACTGGTGTGAGGCATTGCAGGTATACGGGGCGAGGCCAATCAGGAGGTGGCTGGAGAAGAGGGTGGTGACGGAGCTGTCGAGGATGCTGATAAGGGAGGAGATCGACGAGAACACCACCGTGTTCATCGACGCGGAGGCCGGGAAGCGGGAGTTGATCTACAGGGTGGACAAGAACGGGGGCATGGTGGACGCCGCCACCGGGCTCAAATCCGACATCTTGATCCAGATTCCCAACGGGACCAGAGGCGGCGCCGCCCAAACAGTCAAGAAGATGAAGATCTCCCCCGACGTGGACGACGACGACGACGACATGGAGGACCTGTGAACTCTCTTCCCTCTCTCTCTCTCTCTCTCTCTCTCTCTCTCTCTCTCTCTCTCTCTCTCTCTCTGTGTACAGTCCGAGGTCCCCTCCCCCCCAACCCCCCTTTTTTGTCCGAAGTGGACCCAGCGGGAAGACATTCTTGTCCGAAGTCGTCGATCTCGTCGATCTCTTCACCATTCCTTCCAATTGTGACTAGAGAGAGTTAAATATGCTCTTTTTAACTAAACCTCTGGCCTCGTTACGCGGTCACAGAATTATGGGTCAACGGAATTGGGGAGTCATCCAGCCTTGGAGATGACTACCGGCAGACAAGACACCTGATCTGAGCCTCCTAAATCGGGCCTCGTAGTGGCCCGAAGACCCAATTAACAGGCGGCCCAAAAAGCCCCATGCTGCTCTCTTTCCTTCGTCTGAGATGGCTGTCAACGCCAGCAGAGCCGCAGACCCGAGAGGCGGCGGCGACGGTGGGGTCGAGTCACCGCCGCGGCATATAAAACCCCCCGACACCACGGCCGGTCTGGGTCTATAGAGCCTAGGATCACCAGATGCTTTCTCTAGCTTTCTGCTAGGCAGCGAGGCCGCACAGTCGGGGCGGGCCCGGGGTGAGCAGAAACCGCCGCCGCCTCGGATGCCGGCTGCCGCCGACGGCGACGGCGGTTGTCTCGGACATCCTCGCCTCTTCTCTCAGCTCCTGATCCTACGATGAAGGACTCTACAGAAACCCTGTTAGTAGCTGCGGTCGTTGACTTTGTTGGGGCCCCCCACCACAAACTCTCGTCTGGTTAGAAAAGTGGAGGAACCTCCCACAGGAGCGTACAGCGAGATGCACGGAGGTGGCCTTCCGTAACCATAGAGGAAAAAGATGAACAAGAAGAAGACACCGGACGGAACGAAGACGATGTCAAACCATGGTCATCGAAGCGGCTGATGAAGAGAGATGGAGAGAAAAGTCTTCGTATTCGTAGAACCCCCGTGAACGACACACCCAGGTAGGTGCTCAGGTATTTTGGGTGTATGTTTGTCTCTCTCTCTGGACTTCAGGGCCTTTCCAGTGTTGAGAATATCAACCACTGAGAGGACAGATGAGGCACGGATCCCCACCAGGCAACGACTAGACGTGACAGTGACTCCAGAGACTTCAATAAAGACATCTCCGATCTTTGATCAGCTGGATAGCATCACTCGGACGATGTGAAAATATGAGAGAGATAGAGAGAGAGAGGACAGTTGGAGAAAACGTCGCTTCCCTTCTTTTATCACGTTTCTGGGTGCCACTGATCCATCAACGATCCCTATTGGAAAACCCTAAAGACAGGTCCACTGGAGATTGAGGATGAAGGGCAGCTGCACGCACGCTTCCCAGCTTAGGCCAACTGAGCGGTGAGCTGCCCCATCGTGGGCCTGAGAGAGGACATCGACAGCTCCGTCTCCGCTGGAAATGCGAACCGTTTCCTTCTGCCAATGATAGATAGATTATGATCTATAACCATCTGTTCCCTATAAGCTACTTCGTAGGGGTTAGAGATCCTCTCACCCAGCCGATCTCGGAGGCGATGAGACAGCAAGAGAGAGAGAGAGAGAGAGAGAGAGAGCGATAGAGAGGGAGAGAGAGGGAGGGAGAGAGAGAGAGAGAGAGAAAGAGAAGGAGGCCACTCTCTCCGGGGACAATCCGCCGCCGGGGATCGGCGGCGACATCACAGCTGCCAACTCCGGGACGGCGACTTCTCGAGTAATTTCCCCGCAAAATAAATGGGTACTTTATTCTGCAAAACATCAGACTACGTGGATTGCTAAATTTATGGGACAAGAAAGTGACATTATAATGTTATGAAGACCACCCAGGAAAACCGCCGCCGCCGTCCTCTTGACTGGATGACGAAACCGTCCCCCAGCTGCGACTGCCCCATCTATGTAATATCTCCTCTACAAAAGGTTCTACTGCCATAAGCTGGATTCTGAAGATCCAACCGTCCAGCTGGAGTGCGGCCCACCTACATCTTAACCTTTCTCATTGCCGGCTGGCGGCGCTATTCGCGTGAACCCGACAAGGGGTCCCCTCTTTCCAGATCAGGAACATGACGTCATAGGTGACTGTGCACGGGCCCCACGTCGATCCATGTTGAGTCCAATCAAATCGGTCGCTGGGCCCAATTTCCCTGGGCGCAGGAAATGCGACGAAGTCGTCCATTTGTCATGTCCATGACACGTGGCAGAAAAGGGGGATGCCGACAATCGCCATCGTGATCTCCCATCACCGGAATACGTGAAGACCACGCCACCGGTGCAAGTAGACACAGTGCCCCCCGAAAATTTTACCGCGAGCAATGCCGGATTATCCAATAGGCGAACACTGATAATAATCCGTGGGAGTTTCTGCATTCGGATATTAAATAATAAAATAAAATAGCCCACCCGTAGAACGTTAGTCAATCTAAGTGTTCATTTTTTTATATAAAATTTAGTAGTTTTAAATTTACGGGATTTTTTCAATAATCCATGTTTTATTCCTATTTTTTTGGATTTAGTGCTATTTTTTTTCTCTGATGTTATGGCACAGTTATTATGTTCAAAATTGTATACATATAATAAAAAAATACGTTTCTTCGTCTCTACCATTATTTTTTGTATTATTGGGATGGGGTGTAATTTTTTCAATCGTATTATTAAAATGGTTCTGAAAAACATGTTTGAAATAAATTAATGCAAATTAAATCAATTTATCAGACGGAGCCGCTAATGGTGATTAATTAACTGTAATGAGTCTTGGGGGAGTAGATTATTCATTAACGAAGACACGTGTTAGTAGAGTGAGCTTAGGATTCTCGAGACGGGGGGGCTCTGACAGAGACCATGCTAGAAGACATCACACGTGCGAGCTCGTGTTCCAATTGACACGTGCGCATCTAATTGGACGGCGGGGTTTGGTCGAGAATTAATTACTACTACGTACGCGGTTCAACGTGCGGCTAGGGTTCAGTTGTAGAAGGACTGCTGGGGCCGTACGAAGATTTAATTTTTTTAATTTGTCTATAGTAATGAAATAGACTCTTTTGTCTTTTTCTCGCTCTCACACATTCTATACACTAACCATTTAATCATAATTTTTTAGACAAAATTTTAGCATTTGTGACATATACTTCAATCATGCTTCACCCCCTATTTAAAATTGCATTGTACTTAATGGCATGTGAGAGTTAAAACTCATGTTATTTTAATCATGAGCACGATATTGCACAAGTATGATGTATAGAAAAGATAGAAACATCAAAAAATTAATTCCCAATCAAACGAGTTGAATATGAACGGGCGTGGGAAAGTCTTCCAGCGTGTCTTATAGAAATCAGATCCGCACACCCTCTCTCCTCTCTCTCTCTCTCTCTCTCTCTCTCTCTCTATATATATATATATATATATCTTTCTACCTGTCCGAACTACTCACTGAATGTGCATGGAGACACCTTCCATCTCGTCAGATAAATATCACTCTCTCTCTTTCTCTCTCTCTATCTGATATGACTGCCATATTTGAATGGGGATGGGCTCCCCTCCCACCTGGTAATATAGACTCTCTCTCTCTCTCTCTCTCTCTCTCTATATATATATATATATATATATATATATATATGGATCTCTTCAAAGAGATTATTCGAAGCACGCAACCCTCTTGGAAACGATATGCGAGAACATACATAAAAGGCAACAGAATCCTCTGCTGCTCATAGACTCGGGATTCGATATCGTTCTGTCATCGATGAGGTATGAACATAAATGAAGACAACTTGCGTGGGGAGGAGCGTCTGCCTGTCTGTCTCTCTCCCAAATAGCGCTCTCAACGAGGTTCCCTGCTTCCCCTTTACTCTGTTCATCCTTAAGGTCACTGGCTCAGTCTGTCGCATCACTCAAACATTGCCTCAGCATGAAGCTCTCTCTTTTTTCCTCTCTCTCTCTCTCTCTCTCTCACACACACACACACACACACACAAACACTCACTCAACTCTCTCTCTTTCCTGTTTACCGACCGACCTTTCCACCATTCCGGCAACATCACCGTCCATGTGTCTTCAGATTTTGTCTTCCTTCGTACAGACAATGCTTCATCTTATTAACCGTGCAAGAGGAATGAGCAGAGGGAGCGGATAAAGAACAAGAAGATGAAGATGACGAAGATGAAGAAGAGGAAGACGAAGAAGAAGAAGAGAAAGACGAAGAAGAAGAAGGATTTCTCCAGCCGGGCCCCGATCCCTCGTACGATGCCCATCCGATCATGGAGAAGAATGAGCGGGCAGATTTATTTATTTATTTTTGGGGGGGGGGCTTCTGCTTTACCGTGTTGTCGATTGCTTGAGAGTGAGAGAGAGAGAGAGAGGGATGAGGGGACGGGTTCCGCAGATACGTCTTAATCATTCATGACAGAAGGGGGCCTCCAAGGTCCGTTGATTTGAGAGCTAGGTGCCCTCTTCTCAGCGGAAACCAGTACCACGGATTTTGCCCTACATACAATCACAGCAAGGTCTGTCTGTTTGCTTTCTCGTCTCCTTCCACTCGGAAGTTCTAGAGAGAGGCCCGTCTTCAGTGAACAATACGAGTGAAACCTGAACGCAACGGCTTTCGCTCCATTTAAAGATAACGCAGGAATGCGCTCCCTCTCAGAGAGAATCAAAAGGGAATCGACGAGGACGGATGCTCGAAGTTGGTCCCGGTGGGTCGAACCCTAACCAATACGTCGATTTATGGTGACATGAGGCTTCTCTTCAGTGATTCTAAGAACTACCCTAGATAATGTACATATATATATGGACAGAGAGAGAGAGAGAGAGAGGGGAGAGAGAGAGAGAGAGAGAGAGAGAGAGAGAGAGAGAGAGAGAGAGAGAGAGAGAGAGAGAGAGGGAGAGAGAGGGAGGCGAGTCATCGTCTTGTTCGCCCCGGTAGCTCCCACTAGCAGATTGAATATTGTAGAGCCACAACATCCCCAAAGATTCTCCTGACAATTACACAGCTCCCGGACGGTATGGGACGCATCTGAATCATGATCATCATCATCAGTGCCGGAACCCACGCCAACCGAGCACAAGAGGCTGCCCCTCGGGGCCGCGAGCTCCTCTCGGCCTGCTATGGCGATCGAACGAGATCGAAAGCTAGATCTGTGTAAGATTAACCGATACATTGACCTATAGTATTGTCTTCTCTCTCTTATTCGAGCTTTAGGGCGGTGGTTACCAGTAGTTGTGAATAGAGGACGGGTAAGGGCTGGAGAGGCCCTCATGCAGGTGGATGGGTCTTCTCTTGGCCTCCTATCTATCTTACGCTAGTGTTCAAAGCTACCAGATGCACAATTCTCTCTCTCTCTCTCTCTCGATTCGACGGTTTTTGAACCAGCGTTCAATTAGTTATCGGGTGCCCTAGTGAGAGGTTGAATGCACTCTCCTGATGATCGCGTGGTAAACTAGCCATAGAGAGAGAGGGAGAGAGAGAGAGAGAGGGGAGAGAGAAGGGAGAGAGAGGGAGAGAGAACACTCAACTTAACGAGGGAGGGAAAGCCCCGTTGAGTTGATGAGACACAAGAGAGCGGCATTGACCACGGCGAGGGCTCATAAAAGAGAAACGTGATAGAATGAGGCCAATATATGACAACCGAAATTGCGACAAGAGTCTACTTGCTCTAATCATTCATCCGGATTCCCCTCAGTTTCAATAAGATCACAGCCTCTGGAGGATACGGCGAGCGTCCACTGAACCCATGTTGATCATGCTCGAAATTTATTCCAGTTCCCCCTCACGGAAGGGTCCACATATTGGAGGGACGCGGGGGGAGAGAGAGAGAGAGAGAGAGAGAGAGAGAGAGAGAGAGAGTCTGTGGGCACTTGAAATAAAGAATGAGGCCAGAGAACGAATCATCTACGGCGTATAGCGTGGTCCGGCGGCCACAACGGGGAAGAAGACTAAATCCTCCAGGGAATAGGAGTGGTCCAGAGAGGTGAAGTCACACGCGATTTATATATCACCGACTGCAGTTTGACAGGGAGGACGAACAAGGATCTCGAGCATGCAGGGAGTTGACAGATGGTGCTTAGCTGGGAGGAGTTGACTCAGGATAATCAGAAGAGAACGAGTTCCCTTCTTCTTCCCTGATCTGGATACCCTTCGAAAACAAAGAGACCTGGAGGGATCATCACCACTTTCTTCGAGTGCACCGGTTAAAGAGTTCATCGAGCTTCTTCCCATTATTTCCCAGCTCTGTACAATTCACATGGGCAGAGAGAGTGAGAGAGAAAGAGAGAGAGAGAGAGAAAGAGAGAGAGAGAGAGAGAGAGAGAGAGAGAGAGAGAGAGAGAGAGAGAGAGAGAGAGAGAGAGAGAGAGATTAACTGGATGATGGTATTCGGCTAAAAGGACAATGGGGGAGTATGAAATTCGGACCTATTAGTAATCCCACAACAGAGCTTCAAAGCCCGTTGTCTCCGGCGGGGTCGCGGGCCATGGCTGGGCCGGCAAGCTCCCGTACTCCTCGGTGCTCTCAAACCACGGTGGAGAATACGACGACCACGACTCTGCGGACTGGTGGAAGACGAAGTCATTCCCCGAATCGGGTGACTCGAAGAAGTTCGTCCCCAGTCGGGGAAGCTCCACGATCTCTCCGAGCTCGTCGGAAGCCGCGGTCGAAGGGGAGGGCTCCTGGTTGCCAGCGCCTGGTTCCATCGCCGCCGCTTTGGCGGCCGCCGCCTGCACATCGCGCGGTGAGAGTGTCGCCGGACGAGGGAGGGAGGCGGCAAGCTCGGGGAAGTTGAGAATGGCGTTGGAGCCCTTGATGCTCAGCGCCGCCACGTCGTGGGCTCGCGCTGCCATCTCCGGCGAGGGGAAGGTTCCCAGCCAAATGCGAGACTTCTTCCGAGGCTCGCGAATCTCCGACACCCACTTGCCCCAGTTCCTCATTCGTACTCCGCGGTAGATGGGGTGCCTGCTGCAGTCGCGAGTCCTCTTGCTGATCTTCTGCTTCACCTCCGGTGAGGATTCCCCGGGGGGGTGCTTGGAGTGGGGCGACGACGGGGACATGGAATTGGTGCTGCTCTCCGCCTCCGAGATGGTATAATCCCCCATTAATCGCTTCCTCTGTCTGCGTTCCTCACTCTCCCGAATTAGGGGTGTAGCCGCGGGTTGACGATTAGGGTTTCTGGGAAGGTGGAGACTGGCGTGTAATGGAATGTTCCTGGTTTTCTGGGGATCAGAGTCGCACTGTGTGGATGAAGACCTTTGGAGAGGGAGAAGGAAAGGTGAACAGAGAACTGGGGGAGAATGGAAAACCAGGATGGGGGAGTGGGGGGTGAGTGTCTCTAGAAGAGCTAGTCCGGAGAACTCATTTCCCAATGGCAAGCATGCCCATCTGAAAAGAGAAAGATATAGAGAGAGATGGGGAGAGAGAAGACGGGCCCGCCATAGATCAGGGGTCTCTCCTCGCCCTGCCCCGTGGTACCATGGGCGGTCGCTGTCTCTACGTACCCGCTCATTAAATTTCCCCTTTTGTCAGCTTCAACTGTTCCTCTTTCGGATGACGAGGCCATGTTAGCTTCATTCAACCCCGCCCGTATTCCTCCTCCCTCGGGCCGGGACCAAGTCCCCCGCGGATGCATAATTAGAATAGACTACTACTCTTCAGAACCCATCAAACCACGAGAGAGAGAGAGAGAGAGGACGGGCTCACCTTGGTCGCCGTCGACGTTCAATTGTCGGAGGCCAATTAGTCCTCCACTTGGCTCGCTGGAGCGACCCCGGCGGCGCTCGCATGGCGGTGCCACTCTCACGTGGGGTTTCCCCCGCCGTAGGGGGACGGCGGAGGGTGTTGGTGGTAGGTGGGGAGTCCGACGGCGACCAATTCGCGTGTGGGCCTGCGCGACGGCGGCGATGGGAGATCTCGTCGGAAATGCCACCCACCGGGGGGTCTCTCCGGTGCCTCCTCCGCCGCCCCCCACCGCCTTCGACGGTAACCATAGACGGCCCGGCGCTCGTAGACCCATCATGATTGGACATATCCACATCGGAAAACCTACGGGAAGAATGAGAAGAAGACAGCTACCCTTCCGCCTTCAAACTACTCCCGGACTTCCCTCCGCTGGCTTACTTTCCCGTCTGACTATCCTGCCGGACTATCCTGCCCGACTAACCATGCCATGCACGTTGATGTTACAGAGAGAGAGAGAGAGAGAGAGAGAGAGAGATTTATATTCCACCCTTAATCTCGAACCCACCCTGCACGATTTTCTTCTGACTTGGGCTTCTCTCTCAAGCCGGGAAAGAAAACTTGCTCAGATCCAGAAGCCCCTAGCCTTCTTTACTCCCTCGACAACTAGTTCATCTCTCTCTCTCTCTCTCTCTCTCTCACTCTCATAGACAGGTGTTGAGGAAGATTCGGGCCTACCTGGTCATGTCCGGCGCAATCAGGCTGCAGCCCGGGACTACCACTTCGGGGAATCCTCCGAGCCATCGACGGCGAGTTTGATCTGCACGTTGGAGAACGGAAGGTGAGACGTGACATCGATGTCCATCGGCCGCAGAGAGAAAAATATGGCCTTCGGTAGATGACATCAACGGAGGGAGACAAAGATCTGCTCGAGATTCTGATCACATAAACAATCCGTTGATTTTAGGTTTTCTCAAGTCAACACCTACTTAGGGAGACAGATTTTCGTGTTCTTCATCTATTTTAACCGAGCAAGTTATTGTGAATGTGGGTTAGAGAGGGGGTGGGGGGATTTTATATGCCACAGTTGCCTTAAATGCAATTATAAATCCCATGATGTCATAAAAATTGCCAAAGTTGTTTTGCCCGAATACCCCGTTAAATCATCTACTACGGCATGGCTCCCTACAAACATTAACATCTAGACCTAGTCCCGGATTCCGTGGTGCTGGTCGGCCGAAAGTCCCACGGCGCATTCATCAGGCAGTCAACAGAGATATGGAGGAGACCAGTCCCTATGGAGAATGTCCAAGTAGAGCACTTGGTGTCTAGAAAAATAAAACCAAGGTTTTACGCTGATAATCTACTGAGATAAACCATTCACGTGAGCTCTAAGAACACATAAATATAAGTAGAAGATATGTAGACCTTTTTTTCACAAAATATTCCCTAAAAATTCATCAGAAAATGAGAATTGTATGCATTTCTAGAATCGGTTGATGCAGACTCGGCAACTACGCGCATCACGCAGAAGTTTGTGTTTGGAGTGCCAATAAGTCTCCATTTTTTATTATTCGTGCACTGTACTACTGTACTCCCTCGCTCGCTCTCAGAATAAATGATGAGTACATTCATGGGCTCATATGTTCTGCAAATCGGCTCCTTGGAGTTTCCCTTCATGGTGTTTCTCCGAGCAGCCATGGATAGCTGTAATATAAGATGAATGGAGGTGGCGTGGTGGAGTAATCAATGGAGCTTACACCATCCCCCATCGTCTCCCTGAATCGACATGAAGGATCGCGTTCATACAAGGCTCGCCTCTGAGCTCCCCACCCAGCACGGCGGTGACGACGATGCTGACGGCGGGCAGCCGCAAACTCCGGCGGGTGGAGATCGCCGGACGTGGTGGGAAATTTCTGCTGCAGATATTCCTTCCGGTGGCCTGTCCCTGTTAATGATCCCCGGTCTCGCCGCTGGGCCCACTGGTGCAATCCCTCAGCCTCCTTAAATTCAATCCCTCTCTTTCTCTCTCTGCCTTTCTCTTTCTAAGATGAAGCCGCGATCTCCGGCGGAGGCCGGCGACGGAGAGGGGAATTAAAAATCTTCCGGTGGGGGAGGGAGGAGGTCGGCAGAGAGGGAAGCTATTTGGGGTGGGGGAGCGAATCTCTCCACATCTTTCAAGTCGTCGTCGGACGTAAAAGGTTGCGGCGGAGCTTTTCGACACGGAAGGTGACAAGCCCGCCGTTGAACAAGGGCGCTATTCTCTGCGCCGCAGCTGCCGGCGGCGGCGAGGTCGGCAAGCGATCCCCCGGCCGCAGACAGCCACTGTTCTCTTCTCAGACGATGGCGGGCGGCGGAGGAGGAGAAAGGTGAAGAAGAGAAAAAGTCAAGAGAGGAGACAGCTTCTGGTCCACTGGAAGCAACAAGAGGGAAGGGTCCTTGACTGAATTTAATTCCCCCAAAATTAAATAATTAAAATAATCGCCTCAGGTGGGGGCAGGAGGTACGGCCACGTACCCGCTGACGTAGGAGATGACGGCCTTTGAGAAAAGGCCACGAAGCCCAAACAGTTTACGGATAATGGGCCAGCATTTGATGAGCTGGTGATCAAGCTCGGCAATTTTGGAGGCCCATTTCGGCTTCTCTTGTGTAAAACTCATCGCTTGATTTTTATTTACTTTTCTGCCCACTCCACTCGGAGAGACGATAATAGGTCTTGCTTCTATTTTAAACGGCCCATATAAGGAACGTATACTGGGCCCATTTTCTAGCCCATATTATTAATTGGCCAGCGTTTTGTGAGCTGGTCATGAAGCACTGCTGTTTTAAATGGGCCAACGTTGATCCACATATGTTTTGGAGGCTCATTTCGGCTTCCCTTGGGTAAAACTCCTTGCTTGGTTTTTATTTACTTATGTGCTCTGTCCACTCGGAGAAACGATAATGGGCCGTCATTCTATTTGAGACGGTCCATATAGGGTATTGATAGTGGGCCTATCGGGCTAATAAATGGGTAACTGATTAAAGGGCCGTCGGCGAGAGGTTGTCTTCTTCCTCCCGATCTGGACGAGCAGTGTGAGGAGTGCCTCACACATCTCAGAGGCGTCGGCCTCCTCCTCCGCCACCTCCTCGCCGGCGAAACTCCGGCGGCGGCAGCGGCGGCGGCGGCGGCGGCTGGAGGAGTAGACCATCCAGGCGTGGTCGAGCTTCCTGGTCGGCCGGACGGCGGTGGATCCCGGGACCTCCGCGTCCCGCCGCGCCACCAGTCCGTCGCTCCTCTCGCCGTACCGCAGCCGCAGGTGGATCGCGCTCGCCGCCATCGCCGCCGCGAGGGGGACGACCACTGGAACCCTATGGCTGCCGACGCTGGCGCCGGAGACGAAACTCGGCAGCCATGGGAGCTCCGCGTGGGCTATGTGGGACATGGTGGCGAGCACTCCTGGAGCCGCACTCGCCTCCGTGTGGAAGGAGACCAGCGGGATCTGCTCCCACGGGAGCTCGTGCCTCGCCAGGAACTCCCTCCGCCTCTCGTAGGTCAGATCCTCCAGCGCCCTGATATCTCCCTGCAGAACAGACCAAATCAAATCAAATCGCATATTAGATTCAGATTTAGATTCAGATGATTCTTGCGGGACCTTGATCAGCTTGCAGACGAGGAACTCCATCATCTTCCTGGCCTCGCCGTCGGCCACCTGGCCGCGGCGGAGGATGTCGGAGGCGATGGGGCTGCCGCCGTAGGGGCACTGCACCACCGCCAGTCCGGCGACCATCGGCTGGAGGTCGCACCAGTAGACGGAGATGGCGGCGGCTGCGTCCACCCCTCCCTTGCTGTGGCCGAGTATCATCACCCGCTTGCCAGAACCCCAGTAGAGCTCCTCGATGTAATTCTTCAGCTCCCACGCGTTCTTCTCCACAGACGCCTGTGCAGAGGAAGAAGACGACGGAAGCATGAACCTCTTCTTCTCCACAGACTGCGCAGAGGAAGAAGATGATGACGATGACGACGATGACTCCGTTGCTGTTACCTCGCTGTGGATTCTGGCAATGTGACAGGCGAGGCCCATCTTGGAGAAGAACCTCTTCGTGTTCACGAAGTACAACGGGCTGTGATTGCTGAAAAGCCCTGCAAAACATGGCGGCGCGAATGGGATCATGCATGATAAGCCCTAGAGCTCGGCAGAGACAGGGAGTAAGCAACCCACCAGGGACCAGCAGGTAGACGAAGCAGCTGGGCAGAGAATGCTCTCCCCTCCTGGAGCATAGACAGAAACCGCGGGAGAAGAGAGGATCAACCAACCCGCAAGAACAAGAGATCTTCCTTAAAAAAGTCAGCGCGGATCAGCGAGTTGGCTGAGGTAGACCTTATGCCATCGAGCAGGGCGAGGAAGCTGGCCGTGCCGTCCTCGACAGGTGGCAATCCCTCGGCTCTCTCCAGCCATCCGATGTCCTCGGAAGATCCCCGCAGAGTTCTCCTCACCCGGGACACAAATCTGGGAAAAAAAATGAAAAACAGAGGATTAAAGACATCTAATCTCTCAGTCAGAGTCGTCTCCCAGCCTGAGATCTCACCCTAGAAGTTGACTTTGTGCGCGAGCAGCGTGGAGGAACAAGCATCTGAGGCAGCCACGTGTCAGCCTACAAATATGTCTGAAGCTGCACGGTGGAAGCGTTGACCTGCTTGTGGAAAAATGCAGCAGAGCTCCAGATTATGTCGCGCCGTAATATCCAAGAATTACGGGAAAAATGTGGAAAAAACTATTGTATTTTTTATCATGGATACCTTGGAACAAGAAATAAATCGCCGCAAAACCCTTTATTATTTTCCGAAACCATAGAGCCAGAAGATGAACCGGGCTCTGACGAGATGGCAGGCGGGGGAAATCTTCTCGTCCTCGTGAAATCTCTGAGCGCGAGATCCTCTGCGGGAAAAGGAGGGTGATGAGATATGTACACCATCAGGAGGAATGGTTGACCTAACCTAACAAGGGGAGGGTGGGGTGTTTCTCACCAATGAAGTGGATGAACTTGCGACTGAGATATGAGGTCAACGCTGCAAGATGAGTGAAGAGATCGTCCATCAGAGACCCCGGTGAAGTAGAAGAGAGGAGACTCATATTCCCTGGAGAGTCAACAGGGAGCCTGGCGAGAGGAAAAGGGAACTCAGAACAAACCTGAAGAGGAGGTCTCATAAGAACCCTAATGATCCGAAAATAACAAGAATATTTTCCATTATTAAAGAAGTAAAATCATGAGGGAGAGCAGCTGGATGGTTATGAAGAATCCACAGCTTTTTTCCCCTAACATGCATCCTGCAACTCAGGCGAAGGACTGTTAGCTTCCGTTCTCAGAATAATTCCTCTGCTACCAGAAGTTTATCACATAAAATCGAACGAATTATAAGGTCCTCGATTCACAAATAATGCATAGATTTCCAGGTGAAGCCGGATGATCCAAGCTAAGAACAGAATTCCCAAACAGCTCCCGGGACCTAAATATGATCCATGGAGCGGATCGACCGTGCAGGGCCTGGAATCATCTAAACAGACAGCATTACAGATCAAGAGAGGAGAATACCACCTCCGATCATCACCCGAAATGAGGCAGACGACCTCTGCACGACCGGAAAATTCGGAAGCCGCAGTCGACGAATCTGCTACTACTTCTGGTTCTGGGAAAAACAGAGAGGAAGATCAGTGAAGTTATTGGTCGGCGGTCACGAAGATCGGAGGAGACGGTGATGCTGCCTTCATGCCATCACGCCATTGCCGAAGGCCCGCGGACGATTAGACGCAGAAGATCGGAATTCGAAGAGAAACGACAAAATAGACTGCGCCGAGAAGGGGCGTCTACGTGACTGCAATTCCGGGAAGAGGGGAGATGAACGAGCAAGTACCTTGACCACTTGGACCCCTCGGACCCCTCTCTCTCTCTCTCTCTCATCAGACTATAGTTATCCACTGTGGAGACGGTGCGTGTCTTCTTCAGCCGGCAAATCAAACTATCGTTATCCATTCTCGATCTGGGCCCACTGCTCCCTCTCTCTCTCTCTCTCTCTGCAGGTTAGGGTTTTATCCACAGTGGGAGGGGGACCACGGGGGGCAGGGAAGAAGACGGCGGCGGGGACGCGACGACAAGCGGCGGCGGCGTTGGTCCCAATAAGGCGACTGATTCTACGAGTTGAAAGCTCTGTTTCTGAGGTTGACGAAGATGTCCCGATTGGGGAGCTTTGAGTCCTAGCGAGGCCCATTTTAAAACACGGGATATGGGCTGATCTAGTAAGGGCCCAATAATATATGGGTTGGGCGTTAGACTTTCGGATTCCAACTTATTCGGCCCATTAAGACCACACGTCCAATCATTCACAAAATCATCTCGATTGAACTGGGATTTCTAATACCAATTGACCTTTTCGCGGGCCTCTTTTGGCGGCGCGAGGGCAGGCCTTCATCCGTTGACCTGAATAGATTCCAAGAGAGAGAAAGAGAGAGAGATCACCGAAGCGCACTGTCTATCTCTATCTATCTGCCACCTCGGTGAAAGGGGCCTTCACGACAATTACACCCCTCTGAAAGTCAACGTCCATCCATCTGCCACCCTGGTTCATCAAATCCCGCGCAGCCGGGGTTAGAGGGGGGTGGGCCAGCGTCCCCGTCCCAGGGAATCGATCGTTGAGCGGGGACGTGCGTTGATGTACAACCGGGGGGGAAAGGGCGGCGCGCGAGTTCTTTATTAACGTAGAGGGTTTTGACTTGTGAGAGGGCCTCCAGAGCCGTCAGATCCTGGAGCCGATCACCCGGAGAAGCCGGAAGAGCTCGACCCGTTTAAACAAGCATGGCTTCTTGGAGGCCCTACCCTCTCTCTCTCTATCCTATTTAATCGGGTATATTTCAGAACCATCGTCATCTGAGGGACGGGACGTATAAACTAATCCAGAATGAGGAGGGAAGGGGGAGTGGAAGAAGTTTAAGAAGGAAGAGAGTCCCACGGTGGTGGGTTCCCCCCCAGAGAAGGAAATTTCTCGTCCACTAGGCCGAGGAAGGGGACGGAAACTCCGGCGAGCAGCGGCGGTTCTCTGGCCGCCTGATGGGCCCACCTCGCCGCCGCTTCCTCCTCCTCCTGTTGCTGTGGCTCTCCGGCGATGGCGCGGTGGCGCAGCCCGGCCCCATGGACACGTCGGGGAGCTCACAGCTGTACAAGCCGAGCTTGCCCATCGTGATCGGCATCTTCTCTATCGTCTTCACCATCACCGTTCTCATCTTCCTCTGCGCCAAGTTCTGCCAGGCCCGGCGTGCCGCGTTCATGCTGGACCGGTGGCCGGAGGGTGGCGGCAGGAGCCGGCTCTCGGAGGGCTTCGTGGCCGAGGAGGAGCCTCGTTTATCCGGCGCCGACAAGGCCCTGATAGAGATGCTCCCCTTCTTCAGATTCTCCGCTCTCAAGGGCTCCAGAGAGGGCCTGGAGTGCGCCGTCTGCCTGTCCAGGTTTGAAGACACAGAGACCCTCCGTTTGCTTCCCAAGTGCAAGCACGCCTTCCACATCGGCTGCATCGACCGGTGGCTGGAGGGCCATTCCAGCTGCCCCCTCTGCCGGCAGCGGGTCACCTTCGAGGACGTCACCATGTTTAGGTACACAGGGAGCTCGAGGTTCCTCTTCCGCAGCTCCTCCTCGGCTGGCGGCGCCGCCGCCGCCGCTCCTGCGGGGGACGCGGGGCTGGACTTGTTCGTGGAGAGGGAACCCGGCGGCGAGATGGGCTCTGGGAAGAAGGAGAGGAGTGAGGAAACCCTAGCGCTGGCGGCGGAGGCTGAGAGAGACGGCGGCGATGCTCACGAGGTGCTCCACAAGTTCAAGCACCGGATTATCGTCTCCGACGTGGTGTTCAAGAACCGGTGGAGCGATCTCAACTCTGCCGACCTGGTTTCCCTCAACTCAGAGATGCTCAACGGGATCTCCAGCAGGCGGTTCTCCATGGAGAGGAGGGCCTCCTTCGGGCCACAGAGGGGGCTTCCCATGGCGGAGACGGCCCACCAGAAGATCAAGGAGGAGATGGAGAAGAAGATCTTGCTGGACAGGAAGGCCGGCATGATGAACCTCCGCCTATCGGCCGCTGACGGCGTCCCTTCGAGCTCCAACAATTCGGGAGGAGGATTGTCTGGTTCTTCGACCTTGCCCAAGTCCTTGATTCCATCTGGGAACAACCGGGCCATGTCGGAGATCGTCCACGTCTCGAGGTTCAGCGACGCAGCGGGGAGGAGCAGAGCCGCCGGCAGAGAGGGAGGCGCCGGCAACGTGAAGGACGATACGGCTAGGGCGATCTGGCTGCCCATCGCCAAGAGAACCGTGCAGTGGTTCGCCAGGAGAGAGAAGAAGAGGTCGGAAAACCAGGAGACGAGGGGAGCCGATTTGAATGTGTGATTCCACAGTTCCTCCTCCTCGGATGGCCCCGAAGAGCGAACCAGAGATGGAGCATGGATTTGAGGGCTTGTGGAGCAGTTCAGGCCTCTGCGTATCCCCCGCAAGCTTGAGAAAGTTTATGCTCTTACCATTCGATTCTTTGGGGAAAAAAACAAAATACAGTTGAGGTTTCTTTCTCCCTCTCTATCCTTCCCTTCCAAGTCCATGACATCAATGGATTTCTCTCTCTCTCTCTCTCTCTTTCTTTGTTGGATTGAAAATATTAGATTTTTTGGAAGTTTTTTAGTAACTGGGTCAACGGTTGGAAACCCGTTTGACGAACCCAGTAGCTGTTACCAGAGAGCCAGAGAGGCATGTAAGACTGATATATATATTCATTGAGAGAGAGAGAGAGAGAGAGAGAGAGAGAGAGAGAGAGAGAGAGAGAGCTCTCCTGGACCCAATGTCCATAACGATGTCCTCTCGAATCGGTTTTGAGATTTCTCGCAGGTGGAGGAACCTCCGCCAGGCTTCTTTCTTATTTCCCTCTGACTCACGTCTCCCTGGTTCCATCGCTCTCCCTCCTTAACGGCGCCTACGACGTTTCATAGTTTTTTCTTCATTCCACTGTTCTCGTATCATCCCATCCGTTACCCCAATGAGCACCATCAAGAACGTCAGTTTACCACGATCGTTCGAAGGTAATCGTTAACGGCGTAGGGGCTGCTCAGCCCAGCTTCACCCGATCTCCCACAGCGAGAGCGAGAGCGAGCGAGCGAGAGAGAGAGAGAGAGAGAGAGAGAGAGAGAGAGAGAGAGAGAGAGACGTGTTGAGAACTCCGCATGGCCAGCTGTCGGCAGATTTCCCCTATATGCCAAAATGGGCGCCACGTTTCGATCCAAAATCGATGACGTCACGCGGGCGCTCGTTAATTAAAAAGTTGATCAGGTTAAGCAGATGAAGAGTCCAGTTCACATTAGGAGGAGAACCCCACCTACCATCCCCACGTGTAGCTTGTTAAGGTAGGAATGTCCAAGGGGCCGCAACGCCCCAAAAGCTGCCATGTCATCGATGACGTAATTCATGTATCATCACCGGTATTACCCGTTTACTTGTACGACTCTGGGTAGGGTCGCTGTTGGGTCGGAACGACCGCGTACAGGCCCATTTACGGACAGTACCTCAACCAATGAACTCGCATGAAAAAATATATATACTATGTTTGGTGTGTCTTAATTCAGATCTCATTTTAAAGGGCAGCAGAATATTCATAAAATAAAAAATAAAAAATAAAAAATAAAAAATAAAAATAATCAATAAATAAATAAACTATCTAGTTTGGAGCAAAATTACTCATTGTTTCACATGCTGGGCACGCACAACTGATTTTGCAGTAAGAATCAACAAATAAGATTGAAGAAATGGTTCATGGGCTTGTGGAAGGGGGAAGCCAAAAATTGGTTGAATCCTAGAACTTGAGTTGATCCAGGCTTAAGAACAGCCATGATTCATGTTTCACATGGTTTTTTGTGTCTACCTCTAGATGTTGCCTGATCCTATTAAGTCAAATGAGTACCAAATTCTTCAAGCTAAAAGAATGTTGCATTATTAGTTTTTTTGTTAGGTAAAGAAAGAGAAACATAGTGGAAGAGATTGAGACATACGCCTTCAATGTTTTGTTCACAAATTGGAGAGAAATTTGATGAGCTAGAGTAATATAAATTCTTGAAAGTAGTGAAGATGACAAGGTCATGTAGTCATTCTAGATAAATCATGCTGTATTATCTTGACAAGCAATACAGCCTAGTGAACCAGGCATTTTTACAAGATTCTTTGACACGCTACTTTAGCTTTAAAAGTTAATATGTGATGCTAATATCATACTCTTGTGTACTCTCCCCTTTAGATCTTTCGCTTGAGACATCAATATCTCAAAAACTTAATGACCAAGTTATCTCAAGAGATTGAATGAGAAAGGTGCTCACACTTTTTGGGACATTTTTTTTAGTGATCATGTAGAACCCAAGACATTTCTAACCTAATTATTTGATGTGGTGCACGTTGGCCCATCATATTCTTATTAGAAAAAGACTTAATAATCAAAGAATCATCTCTTCTAAGAAGATGTTAACACCTACAAGGACAACAAGAGTCATTCTCTAACTTTGAGAAAACTATAGAAGAATTGCACATTAGGGTAAAAGTTTCATAAGTCTTGAAAGAAGAACATCGCTCAAATGAGAAAATGAGTCATAGATATCAAATCATAAGTGCTTTGACTTGTAAAAGAGAGGGTGTGAGAAAACAAAGGAGTTATTGAAGTATGCTTATTAGTGGAAAGTAGGAGGAGATTGATCATCTCAAAATTAGTCTATATTAGGGTATCATTTTCTTTCCTTTTTTTTTCTCTCTCTCTCTTCCTCTTTTTTCACCAACCCTCAATTATTGTTATTATCTTAGTCTTTTCTTTCTTCTCATATCGTAATATCCTCCTATTAGGGGCCCCTTGTATTTAATCGATCTTTGACCAACTATGTGGAACCTTTTATGTACATCTTCTAACAACTATTACTATTAGAGTCAATGTCCACATTGATCAAGGGAGATCCATCAAATTGGCACTAGAGCTAGCAGCCATGCCACTTAAGACCAACGACATAAGAATCAAGTTCATTAAGGAACAATATGAGAAACTCTGTTGATATCTTTTTAGTCCTTTAAAAAGATGTTGCCATATTTATGGAAATGACAAGAAGACTCATTGCGAGATTTCGACTATCAAATAATTGGAGTAATGAATCTCTAACTTTAAAGATCAACATCATCAATTAATGCATCTTTTGAAAATAGTCACTATGATCTAATCTGTGTTGACCAATTCAATAACATAACTATGAGTGAAACAAGTTATGATTGGGTCCCTAATGACTAGACAATTCACAACCAACACCTCCCCTCTAGAAGAGCTATAATAAAGTGGTTAAAAGCTAAAGATGTCCTTATTTAATGGTCATATTTTAATGGTCATTATTTGAAAGCTAAATATGATGAACTATATTTCTCAATGTGTAGACTCTCATCAAGTGACAAACTCATCACTATCAACCTCATTTTAGAAGAAAAAACTCTTGTGTGATATAAATAGATGGATGTAAAAGAACCTTTCAAAGGATGGAAATACTTTCTCCAACAACTATTGGAGTGCTTCAACTTAAATGACTCAAGTTATCTCTATAATTATTTTTTTAGGATCAAGTAGTATGATATTGCAATATAATATAGGGATGAATTTGAATTAATGACTATAATGATTGAATATATTACATAATACATCATCGATGAAATTTCTCAAAGAGATGTGTAAGAGTCTTCATGTAGAAATTTCTCTCTTTGAGCATATGAACTTAAAGGCTATTATGTGCACAACATAAATGATGAAAATGAAATATTATACCATCAAATATCTCAATGAATTAAGCAAAATCAATAGGATAAGTATGCCATAAATATTAGATCAAATTATAACCTATAATGATGAAAGGGCCTTGACTTACTTCTATTGAGACGAGGAGTTCTCAATGATAACTCCACTAAAAATATGAGTCATACATAACCCTTTATGGAGGCACTGACAATGGATAGAAGCAAACTAATGTAATTTATATCATCAAAATTTAGACATAATGGGCCCAAGTCTTGTATATTTCATGCAATGAGAAATACTTACTAGGTCATCATTGTAGTTTAAAACTACATATAATGACCATAAAAGTACATTAAAATGATGAAAATGAAAAGGTATAGAATATAATTATTGAAGAAGAGGTATTAGTTAACCTTGAAGTATCACTAAACTCTTTAGTTAAAGACTCCCCCACAAAAGTCCTCAAATTTTATGAGAGAATTGAAGAGAGATTGATCATTGTCTTCATCAATATCAAAGTCTCTCGTAATTTTATCTCTTAAAAGTTCTATAAGAGTTTTAATTCTTGATGACAACCACCTCCTAGTTTAAGATTTTAACAAAAATATGAGAGAGAGTCCCAAACACCTAAGTCTATTGTGGAACCACTATAGAGCTCAATCACTCATGATAAATGAAGATATATTGATCTTACCTCTATCAAGTATTGACATAGCCTTGGGGCTCAAATAGATGAGCAAGATAAAAAAATAAAATTATATTTTAAACACTAAAAAATATTTCGTATGATTGAGCCAAATTAGATTCTAAGTCGAGTAGATGTGCAAAACTATAAAGTAAATATTTCTTTTAAAGCCTTATTCAAGATCCTCATAAAAGTTGAGCTCGTGGTCAAGATGTTCGAAAAATAGAATGGGCCATCATTCTAGAATCATACTCTAAACTCATAAATATCAATCTCTTTAGGTACTCTTATTTTTAGACGATGGAACTTGAGATACTTGTTGGCGAAATACTAGTCACTTATATCATATAACATTGAATCAGTTCTTACTTTAACTATACCATCGTTGTGAGGAAGAAATATTAAACTTAAAGATTATATGTAAATTACTGTTCACTCAACAAAGTCATAATTTTTGAGCATTTTTCTATTCTGATTGTCGAAGAACTCTTAGATGAAGTATATGATACAAAAATCTTCTCAAAGTTAAATTCCAATAAGGTTACTATTTGAATATTTTATGTCATTTCAAAGAAAATATAGTAAATTTAAAATTCATAAATATTAAAAAATAAGTTTTTAAGAAATATTTAGTTTTATAAGGTTTTTCAGGTTGAAAACAAGGAGAAGAACATGCCCAAATTCAAGTCACTGAATATATGTCTACTTGTATTTCTCAAAATCAAAGCCAAAAGAGTCTGAGTTAAACTTTGGTTTCAAAGGCGAAGTTATTTGTAACATAATGTAGAACTAAATCAAACTTTTTATCAATTGAAAATAAAAAACATGTAAAGATTCAAGTTTTATAGAAGAATGGGCGGCGCAGTCATCAATCAACTTTTATAGATGAATTCATAGACAATCTTTTGTCAA